TTGTGTATGAAATGAAATGAAGTGCTGTTTTAAGCCGTAGAGACCCACTCTTTAATTATTATAATCTTTATTTGTAATGTGTTAAGTTCTTTATTCACCTATCAATATAATCCATGTAATCTATAGCCTCCTCCCAGGCATCTCTTATGTATTTATATTAGGCATTTAATTTGGCTTGGGTTAGCTGTGCTAGGGAGCGAAAAATTTGATTTCCTCGCCTTCCCCGACACAGCTAACCCAAGTCAAATAAAAATGCCTAATATAAATACATAAGAGATGCCTGCGGAGGAGGCTATGTAATCTAATCAAACGCAATCATTTTAGAATATATAAATATTACGAAAATCTCTACGGTGTTGAGCGTGGTTCTGCCCATTGGAAAGATCCTATTTTGTCTTGATATTCCTTAAGAATGTCCTATATGTAAAAGATGAATAAGACTAAAATCAGTTTTCCACTTACGATAATTTCTTTGGATCCGTACATCTTTGGATACACGTCAAAATGATGCATGATATACTAGATAAAAGTTTTTCAACAGAGCTAGGTTTCCTGTTAGATGATAAAAGAGTATCACGAGAATGACATTATTACATGAATGGTTATAGCGGTACCATTTTACGTTTTATTACAAAACAAGGTTCATAGTTTCCTACGCCTATTTTCTTCCATAAAATCTTTTGATTCATGGAAGTCCTAAAACGTGGAGTTTTTTAATACTGTTACGTGTATGCTAATATTTATGCAAATATGTATTACTGTGTATATAAATTACTGTGTATATAAGTGTGATTGTGTGATATAATACGCAGATACACGGTTTGGTTGTAACATTTGGCGACCCCGCCAGGTTATTTTTGATGGGCAGCTAAGTTTTAGCTGCTCATGCACTGATTGTAAAATGCCTGAAATCCGTGCTAGAGCGGTTGCTGCACAAGAGGTATTACAAAGCGAAGCGGTCGAAGGCGAAATTCGTGATTTTGATACGGATGAACCTCGGAATGATTTGGTACAGTTGGTTGAGGAAGTTAAACGGCAGGGAACTTTATTAAGAGCAATTTGCAAAGCTCAAGACCGAAAACTCTTAGAACAGAACGAAAGAATCGATCGCTTAACAAGAGAGAAAGATATTTTAGGCCTTAGGGTCGATTGTCTCACGCCTGGATTTGCATCTTAAGGAAATGCAATCAACCATGAAAAGTCTAATTGATGTAGTGCAGATGCCGGATGAGCGTGTCGAAAAAGTTCATTTTGGCCTGATAGATTCCCTAAAAGAGAAAATCTTAGAGGAATTGGGGACAACGTTTACAGTTGCCGTGAAAGAAATGGAAGAGCATGTTCGCATGAGCGTATTGTCAAAAATCGGACATGCCGGGAAAACAGGAAAAAAATGAATTCTCAATGGCTATTTTGCCACCAACGCCTGGACATCATGAAGTCCAGTCTACTTACCAAACGTCCCGTGGTATGTCGCAATGTGATTATGGGTCAGTGCGACAGAAAGCACCGACCTTTGATGGAGCAACGACTTCTTGGGAGGCGTACTTTACCCAGTTTGAAATTGTGGCCAATTTAAATCAGTGGGATAATGACGATAAAGCCGCGTTTCTAGCAGCAAGTTGGGTGGAAAAGCCCCTACCGTGTTGTCCAACCTTCCACTGTCAAGAGAGTCGCTGTAATTTTCGTGCGCTTATTGTCGCGTCAGATAGTCGTATCGGTAACAAGAAACAAGTTGAGTTAAATCGTGCTAAACTGAAAAGTCGTGCCCGGAAACGAGACGAAAGCTTACCTGAGATGGCTGAGGATATCGAGCGATTAGCAAGATTAGCCTATCCCGATGGTTCGACAACGGTGTTGGAAGTAATTTGTAAAGATCAATTTATTGATGCCCTTGATGACGATGACATCCGGCTTAAAGTAGCGCAGAGTCGTCCATAATCGTTACATTGAGCGTTGGAGATCGCGCTCGAACTTGAATCTTTTCTGTTAGCAAGTCGACGTCGTGTTCGGTCTGTTCGCGGTAAACAAGCTTCGGGTGGAATCTCTCCAAACAAAAATAGATCTTCGTGTAAAGAAGATAATTCGGGTCTAAGCAAAGATTTGCTTGGAATTGAAGCAACTTACCGATAAGATGCAAGAATATTTCGCAATGGCGCAGAATGAAAGAACACCAAGAATTAGAAGACCGTTCAAAGGAAAGTCTTGGAATTGTGGAAACGAAGAACATCGGCAACAAAATTGTACTAAGGAGAAACTACAACAGTCGGGAAACGGACAGTAGCCGGGTTTGGTGGGCAAAACTCGGCTAAACAACGACGGGCCCATGAGGAAAAAACAAATTTGATACTTTGTGATGGATTGATTTTAAATGGAAAGTTAGAAGATACTGCTGTACAAATGGTCGTGGACACTGGTAGCAGTATGACGGTCGTGCATCCAAGAGTTATACAAGAACTTGGAATAAACGAGAGCGTTTGTAGTTCGGCCGTGCAGTATTTGAAAACAGTCACTGGACATAAAGATTCCCATTTCTGGTGCTATTAGATTGAAGTTGAGTGTTGGAGATAAACAAATGTTTCAGGAATTCCGGATAGCAGAGATTGCTGAGAAGATTGTGCTAGGTTTGGATTTTCTAAAGGCTCATGGATGTAATATCGACGTCTCAGCTCAGGTTCTAATAATGAACGGGAATCGTGTTCCTTTAGTGAATACAACTAACGAGAGAGACACTAACACTTATCGATGCTATAGAGTTACAGCTGAAGACGATTGCAAGATTCCACCTCGCTCAGAAGCTTTAATACCTGGAAAGGCTGTGGGTTTTAGTGGCGATGGCAGCTTTGGTATTATAGAACCTTCCGAGAGGGTTGGACGAGAAGTTATGGTTGGGAAGGTGTTAACGGGTCTCAAGCAGAACTGTTTGGTACCTGTGCGAATTATGAATTTGAGTGACAAGCCCTATAAGTTAAAAGGGGCACCCCAATAGCCAATTGTGAAATAATTGAGGACACGGCAAATGTTTTGAAATCAGATATTTCGGAGTTCCATCTGCTTTCAAGTAATGAACAAAATTTGCCTGAAGCATGTACAAAATCTTTACGAAAGAAGTGGAAACAGTTTGAACTCAGAGCAAAAGACTGAATTGTATAATCTTCTGCAACGAAAGGTTGATGTCTTCTCAACTGCGTCAGACTTGGGACAGACAAACAAAGTACAGCACCGTATTGAAACTGGAGAAGCCGTTCCGGTCAAGCAAGCTGCTAGGAGATTACCCCGAGTGAAGCAGAAGGAAGCTGAGAAAATCATTAACAAAATGGAAGGACAAAGAATCATTGAACCCTCTCAGAGTCCTTGGTCTTCACCTGTGGTCCTCGTAAGAAAGAAAGATGGAAGCACACGATTCTGCGTGGACTACCGCAGGCTAAACGACGTTACCCGAAGACTCATATCCGTTGCCGAGAATAGATAATCTTGATAATCCATAGATAATCTTGCAGGTTCAAAATGGTTCTCTACCCTGGATCTTCGAAGTGGGTATTGGCAGATAAAGATGGACCCAAGGCACAAAGAGAAAACTGCTTTTACGACAGGGCGAGGATTATGGCAATTTCGAGCAATGCCCTTTGGCCTGTGCAACGCTCCGGCGACCTTTGAACGCTTGATGGACCACGTATTGGCTGGCTTACCTTGGGATGTATGTGCAGTATATTTAGATGACATCATCGTGCTTGGCCCGACCTTTGAAAAGAAGATTGAGAATCTCGAAAAAGTCTTTAGTCGTTATGATATAGATCCCGTTCCAACACAATTTTCACCAGGAGACTTGGTTTGGTACTATTATCCACGAAGGAAAAAATGATTGTCACCAATGTGTTTAGGGTGATTATCATGTAGTTAGACGCGCGATCATCTTTGTGCCAGATGAAATTCCATGTCCTTGAAGAATTGGATGATACTTTTCTTTAATTAGGTCATTATTAGGATCCTATTATATCTTTCAATATTGCCAAACCCAGCATGACTGAAGCAGCTAAAAGTTTGCTTGAGTAGAATTTAGTTTCCTCGAATTTCTCCAAGGTTAGTTGCATACCACCTTTTGAAATTCTCACTTTTTCTGCGATCTTACGAGGAAAGAATCCTTCAATACTTAATGCAGCTATTTGTCCTTGTGCACCATCACTTTGCCCTTTTTCCCACCCATCTTGGCTTGTGTAAACGAATGAGAACTTTATTTTGTTATAATTTAGATCAATAGGACCAAAACAGTGTGCAATTAATATGGTTTACAGTATTGAAACACTAGCACGCATGTTTAAACTCGAATACGCTGCCAGGATTTAATACTGGAATTCTACTAGAAATACATGCATGCAGCAACCCCTCGCCATTTCAAACGAAGCAAAATATTTCCTGAGCTAGCCACACCTAACCTTCAATATTATGAAATGTTCTAAAAGTAAAGCCGATAGCTGATGTTTCAAATATTTCGGAAACAAGCACAGTCGTAAAGTGAAGTGAAATCACCCGTTTTCCTGCTGCTTTCCGTTGCATTAAGTTATAGACTTTCACAGTTTAATAGGAGTTAATACTTCATTATAGCTAAACCTTCAAAACATCAAAACAGCCCAAATAATATAAATAACCAAGCAGTGAACGTCGAATGTTGTTTTTCGATTATTAAATTCATGCAGTGATTACAGTCGACTATATATAAACCTTTAAAGTGATATTTGTTATATTAAAACTCCGAATTACACTTTTAAGGACTCTTTTGGAAGTTAAAACGATGATGTAAAGCCTTAAATAGTCAGTCACGTCTTCGCAAAACCGAGCAAAACGACATACTGTACCAAGGTCATAAAATGTATTCGTACAGCAAACACGAAATAAACCTCGAAATAAACAAAATAGACTCCTACTATTTCAAGGATTATAATCGAGTTGTTCCTTTTCACCGCTAATTCCTCCAGTTCTGATAATATTTTAAACTCTTCCCAGTGTTTTATCTGTTATTTGATTCCACATTTCATATTTTGTTTTCAAAACATTTTTTTAAAAAATAGTTTACTGATGTCTATACGGGTACACTATTAAATTAAAAGAACTTTCCACTGAAAAAACATAAAAAGTTATTTTCAGTCGTTCAATGGTGAACACATTAACATGGAAGTTTTAAGTATTCCAGACCGAATTGCTCATCAAAGTAGCCAAAAATTTTATCCGAAGAAGTTCGACTTTTTCGAATATTATGCTTGACAACGAACTTGGGAAGAGTCCGACACACCCAACACCCTCCCTCGCCATGGCCCTGATTATCAGCAACAAACCTGTCTTTTTTTCTTCTTCGAACGAAGTATAGGACATCCCGATGGCGTGTGATGCGACAAAAGTAAACCATTGGCATGACCCGATCCATCGCATCCCGGCGTCGGGCAAGAACTATGAAAATTATAATGTTTTCTCCCCTTTTCGCCTATATATGGTAAAATAAAATTAATTCTACCGGTCTCCTGGGAAGAAAAGCATATTTGTGAAACAACATTCTTTTGATGTTGTTCTTGTAAGTCAATTGTATAGTGCAACCCATTTTCATCCTATACATGCAGTTTATAATAATTATGTTATTTGTAAAAGACTAGTTATAACTACCTGTTTTTGGTGTGGTTTTTGTTTTCTCTTGGCGAATGTTACTCTCGCTTTTTGTTGATTTCTTTTTGGGCGAAGTGCATGGGATAGTCTTCGGAGTGTTTTCTTTTAAGCTTCTTCTCTCCTTCGGATGCATCGTCTCTGAAGTCCCAAATGTCAACCAAATCACCGCCATCTCTACCAGATTTGCGAGGACTTCCAAATATCTGTCGCTTTCCAAGGCGTGTAACATTTATTTGATTCGGTGAACTGTGTGAATTACTACCGTGTTTTAGTGGCAATTTCGTGAATGGTCCTTTTAAACTTATTGGTCTAGTAGGAGTAGATTGTGAAGTTCGATACGGCGACTTATTCGCCTTAGGCGAATTCTTGATCGATTCTTTCTTCTCAGCCAAAGTGCATTTTGGACATTTCTATTCCTCTGTGAATGAAAGTTCCGGAAAAAAAGCACATTTGAATGACAGCTGGAAGAACGTAGCTATGTCTAAAATTTTTAGCACTCAAACTGGAGGACCAATGGTCTGAAATTATGCTATACAAAGTCAATTATGTACGTACATACCTTTTGGAGGTTTATCCAATTCTGGCTTTAAACAAAATGTATGATAACTTTGGTCACATCCATCACAGCACAGAAGCTTTTTCTAAAATCAAGCGTAATACATATGCTTTCTTAAACCCAATGTGTGGTCCACACTGGAATTATATCAGTCAGAGCTGCAGTATGCACTAATTGATTACGCTTAATTCATGCAGAGTCTAATATCTTTTGTTACATGGGAATTACCTTGAATATATGTGCCTGATCTGAAAGTTTGTTTCATGTGAATGTGAATTAACAGTCATTGGCGTGTTTGGCTTAGAAGTAGTGGGATATTGAGATTTCAACCATAACCCCCAGTGAACGGTCGCCCAGGGAACGCGCGTGACCTGTGTTTGGCGCAAAAATCGAAAATTCTCATCGTAGTAAAACCAATTATGACCCCTATATTGGCAAAATCCTGGATGATTTGACAATATTTCATGAGCGCGGGAGACTCATGGGGGTATCGTTGTGTATAAATGGAAACAAAAATATGAAACGAACGAAGCCAATCGCTAATAGTTTTGACCCTTTAGGATTTCACAGTTGGCTTAAGAAGAAGAGAAGCAGGTTGACCGTTGTCAGAGGTACGTACACTAATCTCGTATTTAGCGGCCGCGTCTGGGCCACCTGACAAAGTACTTATATCGACAAACTCCTCATTCCATATTTTAAACTTTATTTTATCAGGAATCCGCGAATCAAGAGGCAAAGCGGCAGAGTGGAACGATTCCCGTGGACCCGGAGCACTTGAACATGGAAGAGAAAAAGGAGTGGTCTGACCTGTAAGGTTTTCTTGTGTGGACGCGAGCGCTTCGTTGACCAGAGAATCTGCATTGGGACCCTGGTTTGAGATTTTGATTCCGGAGGTAGAATCTGTTGGGGCAGACGCCACTGTGGATGTGGAAGACGCAGAGGTTGGTAAGAAGCCAGCTAGCTTTTGCGTGACTGCCTCGGTAACCGAAGACACCAGCGTTAAGATAAGCTCACTAGAAAGAGAGGGCAAAGCCACATCACTCACGGGCACAGTTGACGTTGACGGGGCGGCACCAACAGATACAGCATTGGGCGAACTTCGAGTTCGGCGAAATGTTGTTGGTTGGTTCTGAACAGACTCTCGCAAAACGGCTGATGGAGCGGCGACACGCTTAGAACGACGCACGGGTGGCATTCTAAAAAATAAAACTTTAAAAGCAGAAATAGATACTTATGGCGTGATGAGTTAAAGATAGTAAAGCAACCGCACCCAAATTTTGACGTTGTGCGAGAAATAAAACTATCCTCCGTAAGGCGAACATTCAATAGTAAAAAACTCACAAAAAGTGTGAAAACTCTCATATAGATAAGAGATATAGACAAAATCAAACGTCAGCAGGATGAACATGGCAGATCCGAAGATCGCCGCACCATTCACCCTATGGCCAACAAAAAACTCACAAAAAATGTGAGAACTCTCATATAGATAAGAGATAAAGATAGAAAAGATAAAGGTGCTAAAGCGCTACATAAGAAGTAATCACGAGTAAAGTTTGTAAAATGTCAAGGTTATAGAAAAGTAATTAGATTTCGGGTATCTATCTATATATCTATCTGCGGCCAACGTTTTTGCAAACGGGTGTATATATATATATTTATATATATATATATATATATATATATATATATATATATATATATATATATATATATATATATATATATATATATATATATACAGGGTGTATCAAAAAAAATGTCCCAAATGTAAATTCTTCGTTTTTTAGGATAGTTTGTAGAATTTGGCAAATTTTTGTGTTCCTAGAGATAGTTAAGACTTATCTGGTATACCTAGGCCAAGTTTGGTTTTTCATTAACAAAATTATGTTACCGGGGGGTGGTTCCTTTCCACTGATATTGAGAGGTCTTGCGCGCGAAAAAGTGAAGCCGAAATTGAGATATTATTTAGCTGTCTAAAAGTAGGAAAGCTTTTTAATAAATTGTCAAAGTTTCAGGAAAAATAATGCATACTGGGAGCAACGCGCGACCCCTAAAAGTGACAAATATTTCATTGCGCGCAGTGGATTAAATCCATCGTTGATTTTAGCGTGACCGATTTCATGCAAGGCTGGGCAAATGAATAAATTAAAGCGAGAAACTGAACACAAAAACAAAGCGATTTAATAACAAGATTTTTATTCGTGATGTTAATCCTCAACATTTCCACCATTTCTTTCTAAGCAAACTGCAGCTCGACTGAGCATGGTAAACACTGAACGACGAACCATTTGTCTGTCCTGCCTCAAATTCTCCATTTCGTTCGAAATTCTTTCTTGCAAATCGCCTACGCTACCACAAGCAAATCTAGGCGAATGGACAGACAAATGGTTCGCTGTTCAGTGTTTACTATGCTCTGACGAGCCGCAGTTTGCTTAGAATGAAATGGTGGACATGCTGAGGATTAACATCACGAATAAATCGCTTTGTTTTTGTGTTCAGTTTCTCGCTTTAATTTATTCAATATCCCAGCCTTGCATGAGATCAGTCACGCTAAAATCAACGATGCATTTAATCCACTGCGCGCAATGAAATATTTGTCACTTTTAGGGGTCGCGCGTTGCTTTCAGTATGCATTATTTTTCCTGAAACTTTGACAGTTTATTAAAAAATTTTCCTACTTTTAGACAGCTAAATAATATCTCAATTTCAGCTTCACATTTTCGCACGCAAAACCTCTCAATATCAGTGGAAAGGAACACCCCCCCGGTAACATAATTTTGTTAATGAAAAACCAAACTTGGCCTAGGTATACCAGATAAGTCTTAACTATCTCTAGGACACAAAAATTTGCCAAATTCTACAAAATATCCTAAAAAACGAAAATTTTACATTTGGGACATTTTTTTTGATACACCCTGTATATATACACCCATTTGCAAAAACGTTGGCCACAGATAGATAGATAGATAGATAGATACTCGAAATCTAATTAGAATTGCATATGATTACATTTGCATGGGATTTCAATCATATTACACAACATATGCAATTCTAATTAGATTTCGGGTATCTATCTATATATCTATCTGCGGCCAACGTTTTTGCAAACGGGTGTATTTATATATATATATATATATATATATATATATATATATATATATATATATATATATCTTCAGCAGATCTTCAGTTGGTACCATTATATCTAATGCTATGTTTAACAGTATTTGTTATAAACTTGGACAGCACACTGTGATATGTTGGTGAGGTAGTACACACCACACTGGCCACTGGGCACATACAGGGTGTCCCAAAAAAAACGAAAACTATTGAAATCACTCAATGTTAAGATTTGAATGCCGTGTTCACAAATTTCGCCCCGTGGGGATTTAATGCAAGTTATAAAATGCTAAATGCTTTGTATTGCTAGAGAAAGGGGAAATATCGAAGGTCATGGTCCTTGAGATGCACATTTAAATAATGTTATCCATATTTGTAAATATTGTTAATAAATATCATTTTTGCGAACAAGCAAATTTGACTGCATCAAATGTATGCATAAAAATGCTTATGGCAACCCCGATTTATACACTTGTGGGCCCAACAGAGTGCTTAGGCTTTCAAACTCTAACAATGGCATTGTTATGGGTGATTTCAATAGTTTTCGGTTTTTTTGGGACACCCTGTATATAGATGATGTGTTATAATGAGGTATGCAAATTTATATGAAACAAAACCCAGACACTTACAAATGTCATTACAGGATGAGCAAGTCATTGTATTTTTCAAATCCTCTTTCCATGTAAAGTTATTGACTTTTCACAAATGTTGCAGACGCGATTCCTTGGCATGATTATTGATACACAGCAGTGACGGCACAGTTTTACTGCTTTTACACAGTATAACACCGAGTGAGTACAAACCAGTCAACTTCACTGGTACAAACTGAACAAAATAACGTAATAACGAAATATCTTTGCCTAAATCATTCCTCAATTTGATTCTTGTGGCGATAATCGTTAATTCTTTTGCAATGAACAACTATCACACTTTAATTATAAAAAATATTAGCAAGCAATGCATATCGCACTCTACTCTGGCCGCCATGTTCTTCCACGGGTCGTGGTCTCGTGGAACTTCACATTTCTATCAAACAGTCCAATCAAGTACCTTGTTGTAAAAAAATCGATTGTGCTAACCAATCAAAAATGTTGGTGCAAACCCTTCTTTCGGTCTGGGACTGGAAACTACAATCAAGTTACAAAACAGTTGTCGAATCATAAAAATATATTTATTTTATAAGTGTATTAAAATAGATTTTCATTCCAATGATCCATATATTCTACACTATTGTAAGAAAATGTGATGTTTGTTAATCAAATTTCATGAAACCGAAGTATCCGGAGAAAAGCTGCTGGGTTTCGGTAGAAAATTGTCAATGAATGTACTAAACTGCCTGTCTCCAGAAAAAATTGGAATTGGAAGAAATGGAGAAATGCAATATCCAGGGAGAAGAAATTGATATACCAATTGATCTGATCGAAAATGTACGCTTAATTTTTTTCTGTATAATTAAAACCTTAATGTGTTTTTTTGGAGGCTTGTGAACTTTAAAATTTCAGGCAAATCGAAACAAAGCCTTTCTTATGGTCAGTTTACAAAATCCTATTTTGTAAGGGGCAGCGTGACCCAGCGTCCATTATTCATATAACTGCCAGTATAGTGTCGAATTGAATTTAGCACTGGAACCTACCCACCCACGTTTGTTAGCATCAAAGCTCATTTCCCTTGTGGTCATTTGAGCACTAGCTCTGGCCAGCCACTATGCTTTGCGCATGTCTATACACATAGATGGCTCTGTGTTGAACCACATGCGGTTGTTGAGAGCTAACATATGTGCATAAATACGATAGTCATCTTGTGTATAGATGTACCAAGGTGCGTTGAATGCTGAAACATGTATGTACATGCATGTAAGGAAGCTAGCTAGTACTTTCAATAAAAAAATTTCACCTCAAGTTCAAATGATTAGCTAAGCACTTCCAGCCATGTTCATTACTTTTAGCCTGAAATATTCTCACAAGTGATAAGCTTGGGTACTTGGAACTCTACTCTTATGCCTGATGACCGGAAGCATTTGAAGGTCAGGACTTTATTTCTTCATTGCTTTTGCTCTACTTTTTTGTTTGACCCATACTTTGCACAAATAGCTACAGCTAATCTCTCATAAAATATAAATGCTGGTGCATGGTGGAAAACTAAAATATAGGGTATAAGTTAACATATTGCAAATTATAATGCACTTTTGAAGGTACATTTGTACAAAGAAACCAATTTATTAGCTGATCAATCAGGTCACCTCTACTGTAGAAGGAAATGGGGAAAGTGCAATTTGGAATATATAAGATCCTTGAACTACTGTTAAATAATAATTATATGAAATGTAAATTTATGTCAACAGTGTAAATTGAGGGCAACTTCCTCTGTAACAGAATTTAAGATATAGTTATTGAATATATATATATATATATATATATATATATATATATATATATATATATAAGCAAAAATGTTCTCCGTGTTTACTATACTCACCCTTGACGGGCATATTCAAACCTAAGAATGTAAAGGGTGAGTATAGTAAACACGGAGAACATTTTTGCCTATATTATTACCTGTGTTGCAACTCCAAATTTATTTTGGAGCAAATCATGTTCAACAATATATATATATATATATATATATATATATATATATATATATATATATATATATATATTGAGTAATATTACATTGAGTAATAATATATACAGTAATTGTAACAAGTTTTAATTGTAAATATGTATTCATAGAAATTTCTCCCCGTTTTACCAACTGATTATCCACATGCTCAAGAAGAGAATCTCAGGTAATTCATTTTGTGTGGTTGCTGTATAATTTAATAGTTATAAGGTCAGGGGCTTGTTGTATCAAGCCTGTTTAGCTTAAAAGGACAAAGGTGGATAAGTCAATATTAAATAATACTCTTCCATCTCTCTTCAATGAGTCAACTTGAATATCAGTTATGCACTGAATATGTAGTTGTAAACAGTATCTTTGGTTTAAGGTGAAAAACTTTTAGTTCGGTTGTTGAATAAAACGATAAACTTGTTTTCTATTTTGAACTTAACCACTGGTTAAGTTAAACGGGGTTGATACAACCGGTCACCGGTGTTACAGCGGATAATGTCTCCCCGCGGAAAGTGTCCCCCCAATCCGCTAGCGGATATAGTGTCCCCTTTAATTAAGCGGATATAGTGTCCCCGCGGACAGTGTCCCCCACGTGAAAGTCCAAAACAAAAGTTAGTATTTGCGAGAAAACATATTTTTTATATAATATTTGGCTTAGTATATGTAATATTGCTCGTTTCTTATATTTTATATTGTTATATCTTTATATCTCCCTTACATATCTACTGTATATATATCCCTAATTAGTGTGAACATCCCCTAATTAATATCGAGTTCTATTTATCCCTATATTTAGCTATTGTCTGTCATTTGTTACCAGACCGAGTCTATATATACATCGACACATCTCTCTCTTTGTTTAATGGATTATCAAGTTTGGGTTTATTGCGTCTCCAAACAGTTCTCTCTGTCTATACACTGCTTTGTTGACCTTCTCAACACCGGTTCTGGCGTTGGTTCGTCTGCCGCTCGTTCGATGGGTGTATCTATCTACTCTCGGTGCGTTCCATTCTGACCATTGATCTTCATCTTCCGAATCTCTCGCGACGTCTGGTATCTTCTTAAAGAACGTTACATTTCTTGTCACCTAATGTCTTTGGTTCTCAGCTACTATTGTAACTCCTCCACGTTCAAGCACCGTGTAAGGGGTTCGTTCAAACTTGGTTGTAAATTTGTTTCTCTTTTTCTGTTTAAGAATGACTGCGTCTCCCACTTGTATCTCTCGACGCGCTACTTTTCTTCGTTTGTTTGCGTATTCTCTCTCTTTGTCTTTGGCATTGGAGTCATTCGATTTGGCTTCTTTATGTCTGTTTAGTACTTTAGCATTTCAGTTCAACATGGGTAGGACTCCTCTCACAGGCTGATTAAAGAGAAGTTGAGCGGGCAGTATGTCGGTAGAGCAATGGGGTTTGGTGCGATAACTTGACAGGAACTTCGAAAGTTCTTGGCCCAGTTACGATATTCTGAACGAGCTGTTTTGATTGCTTTTGCTAAAGGTTTCATAAAAGGCTCTTCTTCCGAATTATTTTGTGGCCATTCAGGTGTTAATGTCTCATGTTGTACGCCAATCTTTGCTAAATAAGTCTTAAATTCCTTTCTTTTTTACTTACCGTCTTTAGTTTCAGGTGTCAATCTCCTAGCTTTTTTATCGCTTTATCAATGTTAGGGAACCAGGCATACTGACGTAACAAGGCCGCTGTCGGCAAGTTGTACTATCTTTGACTGTAGGGTTGATGGTATTATAATACTTGTTCCTCGGAGGATTACTTATTTGTATTGTCTCCTGATTTTTCATTTTTGATGTTGATGAATGGTTTTATATGACTGTTGCCCCAGTTACCTAACTCAACTGCTTCTCGTACTGCAGTAAGACTCGGATCCTTTGCCCTATGTTCCTTGATAACTTGTACTGGAATTGTCGAGATGAAGTTTACGTATTCCTCAGCAACGTTGTGTTTTGGTATCTTTGATTGCGGATGTCGGCACAGGAAATCTGCTCCATGGGTTAGCACTGCCTTGTTTTGTAGATAACATTGAAATGGTATTGCTGAAATCTTAGAAACCAGCGTTCTATTCTAGCTGGAGGCTTGGACCGAGGATTGTTTTTGATCAATTGTAATTGTTTGTGTCCATTAAAAATTGGGTCCCAAAATTAAACCGTCACCCCAAACTCCTGCCCAGACAGTTAGTTTGGTAAGTTCACTCTGTCAAAATTAAACGCCGGAGGATTTTCTTTCGGTGCATATACTCACGTACATCGTGCGTGTTTACTTCTTGCCCGTTCATTTCAAATCCCGCTTCGTGTTCGATAAAAAATCGCTGCAAAAAGTTTTCGTTTTGGCAGCGTTGGTTAAACCACTCCGAAAAGCGCAGGCGACGTGGCCAGTATAGTTTTTCAACAGCTCGTGCCGTACATGCATGCGGTGAGGATGCCAGCGCAAGTCTAGTCTTGTTATCCTGTTGAATGTTGTTTGCGAAACTGCGATGGGATTCCGGCGAGAACTCACATGTGTGTTTTGCTTTAGCAGCTCTGTTACTGCGGCTATGTTTTCCTCACTTCTCTCTGTTCTTCTCCTGCCTGAATTGCCCTTGTTTGTGTTCCCGTGTTTTGATATTTTCTCACGTTATCCAAAATACTAGGGAAATTTACAATAGTCGTTAATGCATTAAAACTAAGTGTAACAGTTCTACAGACTATTTACAAAAACAACTTAAGTAGACGCGCTAATGTTCGAAAATTGTTTTTCGTGCAGGAGGATTCCGTTCGGCAAATCTTATTCTGAATGTGTTTTGCACTTCTCTTACATTTTGTGTACGGATAAAATTTGTTACAACAAAATACTCGTTGTTCTGTTAACAGTTGCACCGTTTTGTATTTCATGAAGTGACACGACTGATTATATTAAAAGATCGTAGAGCAAATTTCTACAGTTTTATTAATTGTCGCACGATTAGAATATGCATTTTAACTCCCAAAGGGAACAAACTTTATGTTTAGGGTTAATGGGTTCACTTATTTGATATGCTTCGTATATATACCCATGCATGCGATATTTTAGGCAACGTCTGAATTTTAAAGGTTTCAGGGGGGGGTTTTTCTTACCCTGTATAAACAGTAGAGGCCTCAGAATTGAGCCCTGGGAACACCATAGATAAAGGCTCCATATCTGAGTGCACATTATTGATCTCAACCATTTGATTTCTGTTGAACAGATAATCGGTGAACCAGGTTAATTCATTGCCCGTATAACACCATCTTGCCCAGCAATATTCCATGACCAATAGTGTCAAAGGATTTATATAAACAAATTTTCCAGTATCCAACTCGCGACGTATCTTATCGCACAGCAGTGTAGCAGTTAATTTAGTTGAACGATGTTTTCGGAGACCATATTGACAATTATTCTGTAAATTATTTTCTTCAAGATAGTCTAGGAGTTGCTTGTGCACAGCTTTTTCAATGAGCTTGGACAATGCTGGCAGCACTGATATAGGTCGATGGTTTTCTAACAGGTTTGCGTTTCCAGATTTTAGATTGGCACAATTTTCGCAATCTCCCAAAGACTAGGTACCGTGGCTATTTGATTGAAAAGTTGATGATGTAGCATAAAGATCCGGGAATGTACTTAGCACAGTCTTTCAGCATTCCAGGTGGTAGTTTATCAAACCAGTAGCTTTAGTATTCTGCAATTATCGTAGGTCTTGCTCAATCTTTATCTTCCATACGCATTTGAAGAGAAGTCTCTTATCTGTCTTGACAGACGGTGGCGTAATGGATCTCCACGCAAAATCAGAGAGTGGGATTGCGCTTTCGTCTTCAGCGAATAGATAGCCTTTTTAAAATAGTGGCTAACGTTATTTGCACGAACTTTAGCATCTTCCCGTGACAAAGATTTTAGCATTGACTTGGATATTGACTTGGATGATTTGTTTAGAAAAATATTCTTATTACAGTCCCAGAACTTTTTAGGGTCACCACTCTTCTCGTTCAACAGATTACAATGATATTTCGCCTTGGCATAGCGGACTTCGTTTGTGCACTTGTTGCGTGCCGTTTTATAAGCTCTCCAGTGGGCTTAATCTTTTGTTCCACGGGCTTTTCGTAATAGTTTGTCGCACTCACTCAACGAGCGTCTCAATTCACTTGTTAGCCATTCACATTTTCTTCCCTTTACGTGTAATTGCTGGGATTTTTTAAACGATCCACACGAAATATTATCAGTCAATCAGCGCGTCGTACTCTCTACCTAACTCTCGTTAGATCGCAACTGAGTCGGTTATGCAACGCAAATTTGGTCTCAGTGTTGTGACCAGGAGCTCATATCCCGATTGGAAGGAGTACAGAGACGTTCATCAAATATATATCCTTGGTCTGCCATTTCTTTGCGAAGCCAGCCACGAACGACTGAAGCAATTGAAACTTCTTCCTATCAGCTATTGGCACGAGTATTTGGATATGATGTTAATATTCAAAGTAAATTGTGTCTAATAAATCTTCCGAGCGCAGTCCTTCCTACTCAACCTCTGAACTTGAGAACAACAAGATCCGTTCAACCGAACTCCATCCAATTCCATATCACGAAATGCTGTACAGCGACATATCAACAGTCATATTCAATCAGATCAACAAGGATCTGGAATCGTTTGCCGAAACTCGTAACCAATAAAACGAACTCTTTATATACCTTTAAAAATATCTACTTGATTGCTACTTCTCTGCTTTAGTATATGTAACTATAAGTCTATAACATAAATTATCCTCATTCGTGGAAAACAATTTGTTTAAATCACTCGTTATCTCACTAAGCCTCTCCATGTTGTTTTTAATGTTTTTTTAACGTTGCGAAAAATGGAACTTTAATTCTGTGGCAGGAATAGAACGTACACCTCATTCACGGACAAGATGCGTTCTTGTTTAACTTATTTTCATATAAAGCGAGCGAAGTGTAATATAATGAATCCTTTAGTGATTTAAGAAACAAAAGGAGTATTGATAGCTACATTTTTTGTTGTGATTACCACGCCATCTACAATGAACTACAGTAAGTTTCGGAGTGCCTATATTGTATTGAATTTTATTATGATTCTATTACAGGTCCCTTTTTGGTGGAGAAAACTTCAAATTTGGAAACCCGTTGGAAACTTTTCAAAAGAAACTTCAAGGTATTATAATAGAACCGTCATTTTTGTGTAAGAAAAAGAAGTATCCTGTGTGCAAAAAAGACATGCCTTGATTATGAACAATATGGTTGAAGTACAGCTGTTTCATACCGCCCTGTGCGAAGGAAGATACCAGATTTTCACCTCGAACCAAGCAGTGTTCGCAGATTTTTTATTCACCATGCAGAAAAATATCTGTGCATGCCGTATTTCTAAATCTCTCTTTCGTTTGGGAGTCTATTAAAATATGGAAGCGATACAAACATAATTTGTCCACATGTCTTAAAAGATCGACCAAGATAGCGGCAATTACAACAAACCACGTCAATATAGGTGAGATTATTTCTGCAGTGTTCCGGTACCAGCTTAGTTATAGAACCTCCCATATATTTTCGAATTAAAAAACGAGCAGAATTGTTTGGTGTAAAAGATCCATCTACTATGCAAAAAATTATGCAATTAATAATTAAGTTAAGAAACACATCTTTTGGTGTGTTTTATAACACACCAAAAGATGTGTTTCTTGGATGGGTCGAGGTGTGCATTCAAACACACCAAGGTGTGTTTTCAGTGAAAATGTGTGTTACTTTACACACCTTAATGAGCAAAAGTGTGTTTTCTAAAAGCGCGTAGAAAGGTGTGCACAAATTACACACCATGGCGTGCAATTGAGCACACCTTGGTGTGCAGTCAAACACACTTTGGTGTGTAATTCTACACACCTGTTACACACCTGTTTTTTGTGTGTACGATTGCTGGATAGCGCTGTCAACCAGATAGTGATCTTTTTAAGCGTTGTAACAATGCAATACAACTAAAGGTTTGAAGACAACACTTATTAAACGGAATCCCCCAATTTAAGAATAGTACAAAGTTTTAACCCAGGTTTTACCAAATAACGGCTAATTTAGGAGCGGTTGAAAAACCCTGCACTCTCCGGTGGATGCACTTTCCAGCTCGTACAACCGGCCCCTGTCTGTTAATCTGCACACAAATAACCGTGCAATGCCCTGTCAAGAACGTTTTCCCTGTACTCTTCCAACCATTACCAAAATCTCCTATCCTCACTTATAATGAAATAATGAATAGCCGTAATTTGGAACGTTATAGGAAGTAGTTTTACTAACTTTTAATGTTATTTTTAGCTGGACTCTACACATCTGATATCGTGAACTATCGTAGGCGATGTAAAGCAGCAAAGGTTAAAGAATACAAGGTAAGTGAAGAACTAACTTCTTCCTAACGTCTAACAAAAACGTCGTTATGGACCTATTTAGCTCTCTAAATATATAATGTCATTCAGCTCCATAAACAGGGCTTATAAAGACTTTCTCCTAACCTTGACTTCGTTTATCTAATAATTTCCTGCTGATATATCTCAGTGCTCAGGGTCAAAACATTTTTTTATAGTTTTGAGTTTCACCAAGTATTTATTCGGTGATATAAGTGGTCGTCTTAACTGTTTGATAATGTTTTGACGCATAGGAAACAATGCATAATAACGCATAGGAAACAATGCATAATAACGCATAGCAAACAAACTGGAGCAAAAAATGCGATATTTGCTATCAAACACAAAAATATTGAACATCCATGATTGTGGCGTCCAGCATGACATTGTTCAGCCCTGTTTATCAACCAGGGAGAACAACTTGTGCTTTTAGCTCTAAAGTATGTCTCATGGTCAAATATAACTGTTTTTAGCTCAGGCTAAAGAAATTTTATCGCAAGTTGGTAACCGATGTCCTCTTGTCAAGACAGGTTCGATGTATTTTTTCAAGACAAGTTCGCTCATTCATACCCAAGCTTATATACAATCATGTATACAAATGTAGTGTTGTGTCGTTTGAATGTAGAAAAAGCTATTCTATTTTGCCGTTATTTGATGTTACCTCATACATGTATTTACATCCTTATTTAGGAAATTATCGACCAAGTCCTTTCTAATGCTCGCCAAGACACGCCTATAACTTTAAGGTATTTGTTCAATCATAATAGCGAAAAAAAAATTAGGAAAAGTAGAATATTGCTTCCGGGAGATGATCTACGAAGATATCAAAAAGTTTCAGGCCCAAGATATTCTCTTCGGGCACACAGAAGGTTACAGGTTCTTATAGGGTGACATGAAGCGTTTTACAACAATTTTTGGGCGATGCTTGGCTCGCAGTTTTTTAAAATCAACAGGACAGAGAAACTATCAGGATGTTGTATGTTCCCTGATATCAACTGCAAAGTGAACACCGAAAAGGGGGCAATTTTCCCCGGGACCCTGAGGCCCTTTCCTAAAGGATTTACTAAAATTGTGTACAAGATTTTGTACAAATATTATAATTCGATTCAATTACAAATTCGCATTGCATTACTTCGCTTGTCAATTTCGGCGGGAAAAGTCCCGTGTTTCTACACAGCTATAGAAACACGCTTCTCGACCAATTAGCACGCGCGTACTATAAATGTTATATTATAATGTATTATAGGCCTCTTATATATGCATTATGAACCGATATCGCCCTTACCGCTCCCTCTACGGAAAGTTCTGAATTGAGTATTTTTTCTTTCTTTACTGTTCCATTTAGCTGGAATGAACGTCGAATGCATCGTGGCTCCTCTTTATCTGCAAACCTGGATGCAAGATACAAAAAGTATGTGTATAACTATCGATTATCATGCATATAACCTGATCAACGTTTCCTTTGTATGAAACGCTGGGGAGAGATATTGACGTTCTATAGAACACGCAGTGACGCCTTCTCATCGCAATGTATTGCGCTCCACCAAATTTCACGTTGTTGCATGGCCCGGAATAAATTTTAGAAGGAATTTGTGAATATTTCTGAAAGATCTGATAATCATTTATCTTATGGAATGGTGATTTGTGTATTTGCTTGACTCCAGGCTAACCTTATTATCTGCACTGCATTGTATATTGTTCATACTGTAGTAACATTTTTGTTCATTATAAAGGATTATTAGTGAAGTGAAAGAAGAATGCGAGGTGAGCGTTGTTTAAAGATTGCTTACTACCCAACCAATGTAGTTTGTACATGTATAGGGCAGACTTTAGAGCAATTTCAACCTTAATTCGAGATGACAGCATTGCGAACATAACGCTCCACACTCCACTTTCAAACGCAGATTATGACCTATTTTGTATTCTTACCTCTGTCCTTTGTATAATCTAAACTTGTAATCTCACGAATCTTAACAGAAAACCAATTTCAATTTCGACCGATGTGATCTAGTATAAGGGCTGCCCCGCGATGATTGAATACGTGCCGAAACACGGTGCTAATGTAGTACTGGGGATTTTATTATCAATCATCAGATGCAATTCTACAGTTGGCCGTTGCCATGTTCCAATGCCACAGAAAAAGAGTACATTGTATCGTTCCTCTATATCAATTTTGAAAACCGGACATCGGGCATATATATATATATATATATATATATATATATATATATATATATATATACATATATATATATATATATATATATATATATATATATATATATATAATACATATTTTACTTTTTCACAACAGGACCACGGAATTTCATCCGACGATGAAGCAGCAGGTGAAAACAACAGTTATTGATCTCCAAAGCTGGTTATACCTGCAATAAACCCACTACCCATACAATTCCTAATATCTTTTCATTCGCATTCCTAGATATGTCTGTCCAGCAGCAGTTCGTGTTCAACGGCGGTGTTCACCAGGCAGGGTATCTAGCTGGTAATCGAGGTGCAATTGTCTCGACCCCGGTCTCCACTCCAGGGGCACGGCTCATAGTTACTGAGGAGGACTATCACAGAATGTTGCAAAGTCATAAACGAAAAAGAGTGAATAGAGAGGTAAAGTGTCGATAGTTAGTATAGGCCCTCTCATGACGCGAGTCATCTAAAATGTTTTTGACTAGTGATAATGTATATGACTCAGGTGTACGAACTAATAGGGAGTTTATGATCTACGTCGCGGTCAGTTCGACGACGCTCGTCGAATATTTGGCTAGAAATAAGCTACGGAAAATTAATTTTGCTGCCAGGACTCTGAAATAATCATACAAACGTTTCAATTGTGCTTAGAACCCCTGATGTTGATACTGCAGTTTTAAAATAAGCTGTAAAACAGCTATCGCGTTGCCGCTGCTTTCATGTCATCGAGAAGCCGTGAAAATGCCTCATTTCAAGGTGTCGTTAGAATGACAACGCTGTCATGGGACCACAAGTTGTCTCTAATGTTGTGTTTCCTTGCTTTGCAAGCGCGTTGTTGAGCTGACCGCGTCGTGAATCGTAAACTCCCAAATCATCGCGATGGTGCTACCTTGAATTACCAATCGGGAAGGCTGAAAAATTAGCTTGGCAACGATGGGAATCGAACCTGCGGCCTATTTAGACTATACGATTAGTTGTATGCAATTATCATTTTGACGAATGCAAAAAAAGCCCAAGTCGCAATCCTTCTCATTTTGTTCAGGGCGGAATTTGAAATGTCACGTTTGTACGTGTTTTTACACGTTCACATACGCCAGGGTAGGAATCGTATACGACAAATTGCATAGTGCAAATGGGCCTTTAGGTTTGTTATAGTTCAATGCTCTTCCAACTGAGCTGCTAGGTTAAGACGGGTTAGACATTGTCTTTTCGCATATCCAAGTAGCTATTTCCACTAAAGTCTAAAAAAACGGACAGTCACTATATAGCCTATTATCCCCTTGAATTGTTGTTTCGGTTGAGTGTCATTACGACAACGATACCCTCATTGTAGAGTTTCACTGTCGCTGCATTAATATTCGATTTATAAAGGAAATGCATTCCTTTTGTCAAAAATATTGTTCAATCATCGTTTCAAGGCTTTTCCTGAACTTGACACGGAAGCTATTACTCTGGAAGACATTATTGCCAGAACGAATGTCACCACAAGAAGAGCATCGAAGACAGGTTCGTTGGTATGTTTTAGGTTTTAGGTATGCCTATGTCATGTATGAGGCATTTCAAAAAAATTATTTCTTCAGTGCTGTGTGATTACTCATAGTTCTGAGCGCAGTGACGCATCTTTTTCTTGAGATTTTTTTAACGTGTTTATAATTCACAGCGGTGGTGAAGAGAAAATACAAAGTGAAGGAGAAAAGGGAACAGAAGAAAAAGTTTAAGAAGAAACGAACTGTTCCTAATGTGGTTCCCAAGCCTTTGCCAACTGCTCCGCCTCCTGCCGTGTCACCCATTATGCAGAAACCAAAAGTGGTTGAACCGGTTATCGAACAGGGCACTGCGGTTGACGCTAAGAGGTATTGTGTTTTCGTTTAATATCACAAGATTCATGCGACGCATGTTAAAAGTTAGGAGGCTTGATCTTTTTTGATATAACCAATTAAGGGCAGCAAAGCAGTGTCTTCTAATAACTTTCCATCAAATGTGGTAAAACAACTGCTTGAAATAGACAAAAACTTACAGTTTATAGTATTTCAAACTTGAACGTTTAATTTTCATGTATATATAACAAGCCTAATGTTAATGAGCTAAAGTCTTGTTTAAGTTCATTTGCATTCGATTCGGCACGTGAAAAGTTCGACGTCTGAAACGGGCATAGTTTTTCTGACGGATGCCCTTATGTCGAAACGTCGGGAAGTTATTTTTTATCTATTTTAATACGACTACGAGATTACAATTCAGAATCAAATTTATTATATTTCACTTCTCAAACGGGGGTTTTGAGGGTGATTTTCTAAATTCACCTAGTATATAATTACTTTATATTACTTCGTCTTGTTCAACCTATATATGATTGTTTAATGTTTACTAACAACACTTATGTTTTTATATTAATCTATTAATTTCAACCCACTATATACTGTCAACTTCGCCCCTGAAGTCTCATAATAAGCAGTATAATTTACATGATGCAACCGTTTTTATGAAGATTTAGCGCGAGGGAAATGCACGAAATGAGAGTAAAAACTTCATATAAGCAGATATCTAATAGATCTAACAGTCGAGTTATATTTGGCAGCTGTAGCAAAATCTAAAGTTAATCCCAATGCTAAGGTGGAAGATACACGAGGTACTCGTGTTCACTAACTAATGCAAAAGAGTAACAGGAATTTGATAGGTGTGTTAATCTTCTCTCACCTCTTAATTTTCCGACAAAGGAAATTAAATTAAACTGTGCTCACAGCTCACTCCTGCTGGGTTTGCAGCCATGCTGATCGTGTGGTAAACGGAAGGACTAACGAGCCGGAGAGTATATCTTGGACAGAAATCGGGCGAACGACGGACTCTTCTGCTATCGAGATGAACGAGCATATCTGGCACCGAGGATCATCGCAAGGTGGAGCATTGCGACTGGCGAAGTCAGAGGGCAGGTTAGCGGACCAGGCGAGGTGACGCAGGGAAATCTGATATCGGCTGACCGTAGAGAGGAAAATGGTAACGCGAGGACTGGCTGAGAACTGACCACGGCATAGATTGTCAAAGGATTGCACGCAGGGTTTGCTGTCAGTAAGAACACAAGTCTGGGACTTGGATTAGATAATATAGGGAGAGAAGTGTTAAATAGCCGACGCGATGGACAGGGCTTCCTCTTCGCAGGGCAGCCATGTAATTTGGTGTTGTCTCATTTTCGCGCTGAAGAAGCCGGCGAGTAACAGTTTCTTGTCGCGTAGAGCGTAAAGTGTGGCGCCAAGGCCGTTCATTTTCACAGAGCCGTCAGTGACGATCCAAAGTTGATCATCGGGTTTCGGGATCACGATAGAGCGGCTGGATGACAGAGCCTTCTGGGTCAGATTGAAGGCAGTTAATAAACTCTCGGTCCACAGGACAGTATTGTTAGATTGGCTAGCGGCTGTGAAATGCTCTAACGGGGCGACAAGGGTAGCTGAATCTTTGATGACACGTCTCAACATCTTGTAAGAGCCGATAAATGCACGAAGGTCGCGGATGGTTTTCGGGGAAGGGCAGGAGGATAGAGTTGCTATGCGATGAGGTGACGCACGGATGGATCCCTGGGACCAAATCCACCCAAGAATGGTGGTTGAGACGGGGGAAATAATGGTTTTCTTGGCAGAAAGGCGGAGATCGCACCTATCAAGGGCGCTCAGGACCATTTTCCAATTGGCGAGGAGTTCCTCAGGAGAATTACCACCGCAGAACAGGTCATCAGCTATTTTGGCAACGAATCCATCCTGTAAGAGGTCACCGAGAACACGACACATCAGCTCCTCGAGGGCGGTCTCGGAACCAGGCATGCCCATAGCGCATCTAGTGTAAATGCGGACACCTTTAAAGGGAGTAGCGACGCCACAATATTCAGTTTGGGACTTCTTTGAAAAAGGGATTTGGTAAAAGGATTGGGACAAATCTGTTACGATAATATACCGCCAACAAGCAATCTTACGAAGAGTGGAATCGACGTCGGACATCAACGAAGGTTGAGGTTTGCTATATCGACCAACGTCCGTGAATGCGGTGACGAGTCGAAAGCCGCCGCTTCTTTTTTTTGATGAGAAAAAAAGGGTTCAGGTATTCGGCTACGATATTGGCGTCTTCAGGGCGTTGGAACACGCCTATTGCCTCGAGTTCGTCAAACTTGTTCTGAAGCTCTTGTAGTTGGTCTCGGCCATACTGCGGCATACGGCCCTTGCGTTGGGGGGGGGGGGGGTTGGACAGGACCCATATTCACAACGCCTTCGAGGGGTCCAACGGAGCCATTATATCCGGGTATGTTCGGATCGAAGACATTGTCAAAGGCCTTTGATAGGACCACAAAACTGGCAACCTGATCGGGGGTCAGGGTGCCGTCGGGATCGACGCAGACTTGTTCGGAGTGGCAGAGGGGCGTTGTGGGTGTTTTTGAAAAGGAACTTGAGGGATTTGAGTTAGGGGCTGGTGTAGTTGGTAAGCAATCTGAGACCAGGCGCGCTTGACAAAGGTGGTCATTCTTTTTTATAAGGATGGGCTTATCAGATGCATTGACAAGCCTAAGCTTGCCGCCGACGGATTCAAGGATGTGAGGTGAGGGCCAAGCATGTACAGACTTGACCGATCGACAGGAAGTAGAATCGACACGGGCTTCGATCGCAAGTGGTAGGTCTAGAGGAATGTCTGGGGGGAGGTCAATCTCCAAGTATGACCCGGGCCATATGGTGCTAGTGGTTGGAGGGGCACGTAAGAGGTAAGAGCATCTGACAGGATGGTGAGTGGGTGTACGGACAGTAGGTCCGTAGGACACAACATCAGAGCCAGCGATGATGATTTCGCGTTTGGCCGGGCGGACCGCAATGTCGTTGCGGGTCATAAAGGGGGTACCGGCTAGGATGTCGACATCAAGATCGTTGACCACGAGGGCTTCAAGAGTGAGCTTTTTCCCATTGCGACTTAGAACAAGGATAGTTTCACCAGAGATGGAGAGGGGGTACGGCCGTCGGCTTGTAATGCAAGCTGGGAGCTCTTGGTGATCTTTGCTCCAATGTACGGGGCAAGAGAAGATTTGATCATGTTGGTCTCTGCGCCAGTGTCGATAGTGAGTCGCAGGGGGTGATGGTTGAAGAAAGCGTGAAGATATGGAGACTGGGTAACATTGACACGGCGGGTACATGGATGCGGATTTGTAAGGAAGTTACATTCATGCTGGTAGGGAGGGGAGGGGGAGAGGTCCTCAAAAGAGGTTTGGTCTTCGTAGTCTGGAGCATCTTCAGTGCCGGCAATTTGGCGTACTTTAGACATGAAGGTGCGATCGCTTTCGGGGAGAAACTTACAAGTACTTAAAAAGTGGGAGTGATAATCGGAGCGTCCCGCCTGAAAGCATAGGGGCTACGCTTGTGTTTGGATCTATAGGGTATGTCGATGGGTGGGTGATTGGTAGGACGGGATGTTCGCCCGAAGCTCGAGGGAGCGGCACGCATGACTTTGGCTTCGTCACTGGTGTGTAGCTCGTCTAACAGGGAATCAAGGGCTTAAGAGACTTCTGGTTTAATAGAGGCGAGCGTACGATTACGTAGTTCGGTTCCATACCTTTGTTTGACGAGCCGAGGGAGAGCAGGGTGTATGAGTTGAAGCCATGTTAACACTACATAGTTCTCGAGAGTTGGGGAAAGCTCTTCATCGGCAGTGGGGTTTTCACCATGATGGGTTATTCCGCTGGTCGTTGTCAGCAAATTTTCTTCGACGAATGCCATTAGGCATTGGTATAGGTCCTCTGGTCGTTGGTCTGGCTTAAGCTTGATATTAGCTAAGTCCAGTAAGCGAGAACCTGTAGATTGTAGACCGTAATGTTGTCGGATGGATTGCCATACACCGTTAATGGATGTTGAGTTGCGAACGATAGTGTTACGGGAGATCACGGGAGCGTAGTTTGCAATCTGACCGAGCATCATTTCCAGGTGATTAACTTTTTGTGCACTGGTCTTACGTCGAATAGCTGCAATGTCTTCACCGTCGTCAGTGAAACCTCTAAGGAGGGCTGTATTGGTTTTCTTTAGCCAAGTAGCGTCGCTGGTCAGGAAAGAGGCGAAATTGGGATCCAACGAGAGGACATATTTCAGGTTATTTTCCCAAGCTTCGATGGAAGTGATAGTTTCGGATGTTGTGAGCGCCCATTGCTTCGGGGTTCGAACGCCGGCCATGTTGTTTTAGAGCGTGCTCGACTGCGAGTTCACAAGTTGAGAACTCGTCAATATATTTAGTGTACAGATTAATTTGTACTTTTCGGGGTTTCTTCGTTGTCCCAGGACGCTGCCACCACGCCAATGTTGAGACGAGAACACACGAGTATCACAGTGAGCGAGTGCAAAACAACAGACTTTATTGGAGCGAACTGAATCCCCCTTACAAAAAACAATAACTACTGATACGTTACGCTAGGATAACATGACGTACTTAACTGCGCGAGGCGCGCGGGCGTAGCGCAGAGGTGGTAGTCATAGCAATAGGCTATGGCGCATATTAAAAGTTTACAAGCTTCGACGGGACCTTTTCTGAGTGGATAACGGTTGGCAACCTTGGTATGTGTTGATTTTAATGTTTTCTCGCTCCTCAAAAGCTCAAGACGCCATTTTTAACTATGTTTTGAAAAGTTAACGATGCCCATGAGGATATTTAATTTTAACTAGATTTTAACTACACTTAACGCTAACTACGTTTTTATACAACTGGCCTTACTACGTAAAGTTAACTACGTTTTAACTACAGTTGGGGGATTAAAAAGTAGTTAAAACGTAGTTAAGAGTTTTATACAACCGGCCCCAGATAACAACATAACTGCTGAAAAATACGGCGGGCACCGACAGATAACACTGTCCGCTGCATAGAGATTATAAATCAAAATCATATATATCAAAAACATCAGTCGAAAAAGTGAGCGCGATAATGGGGGGCAAATTCAAGTTCCGGATGCTAAGCCAAGCGCTGATTGGCTTGACAATGCCTTCTTAGCAACCACGTTAGCAACAACTAGAATTTGTATTAAAAAATTAAATTCGTTTTTTAGGTCGCTTTGCCGGTTTTTTAAGGAAAAACAGTGCTTTTTTTGAACTGGTTTTACTACCTTAGACATCCTGAAATGATATTTTAGGCAAAAAAAACATTTAGAAATAAAAAAAACTCGTTAAAAACGACATATTTTGGCCTCGGACATCGTGAATGAGTGAACATCCGGGACTTGGATTTGCCCTCCATTAACGCGCTCCCCAATCTCTCCTCGATAACCCCTCTAGTGTTATTTATAATCTCTATGGTCCGCTGGCAAAAAAAGCGCGGGCACCGACAGATCTGAAATTATCCGTACATTTTTAGCCAATCAGCGGACGATTACACTATCTAATGAATAATAATGCCACCAATTTGTAATATATTTAAGTCTAAGTTTTAATAATTTTTGCATGAGATCTTCATATGCGAGCTTTTCAATCAATACAACTGTATTTCAATCAATACAATACATATCACGATATAATTGTGCATGAGACTGAGAGTAGCCAACTTTTCATCATGTCATTGAAACTGTAAAGAACAGAGAAAGACGAGAAAGATTTGCAAAAAATAGTTAAATCTTCGTTCTGTCAGAATAAAATATTTCGTAAGCTACAATGCAACCCTCATTTTTTGCTAAGTTTATTAATAAGAAGATGACGTTTTTCGCAGAACCAACACCTATTGTTCAGCTATATAATAAAAACCTCACGCTTGGTCAATAATCAGTTATTATTTATCGTATCTGTTATATTTATATAGCTTCAAGCTAATGGAAAGCAGCTGTCCATGCTTCTTCTCATTGCTTCGGGATATATTTTTGGGTCTGCCAGATGCAACTGCCGAGTTGGACCAGGTTTGTTGTAATGCTCGGTTTTTCTGTACCTTTTTTAATCCATGGTGTTTAGATAGACAATTTTCTTGTAATACTGAGATTATAAATATACCAATTTAACAGTTTCCATTAAAATGAGAGGTTTAAAATTATCATTGATGGGATTTTGTTGTGCTAAGATTTATTTGCCTCTTCTAATTCACTTCAATTTGAATTATTGTGAATTGCTCTAAAAGTGACTTGTTCACAAAATTGCAATTTTTGCTATCAAATTGCATTTTTAAGATCTCCAAATGGCCACAAAGATAACATACGAGTAGGTTACCTGCCCCCTCCCCCCCCTCTCCCATTAAGCGGCAGAACCACGCAACGCGTAGGCCCGACGTGGGACGTCGGGAACTGTCGAATTTTGTCGAACGTGTCCTCCACGTGGGATGATTTACGCACATAGAATAGACCTGTCTTATAATGACTCAGGTTACACATGATATTACAATGCATGTTTCATTCAATACCATTAGGACTGTTCCTTTTTAAATGTTCATTTTTTAAACATTAAAAAATCCGTCAAAAAACCCGCTCCATTGCCTCGAAGGTAGTGTTGCGCAGTTCCCTACTGCGCACTTGTCAAATTTATGACGGCTGTACTGCCCGTACACACGAGTATTTTTCCTTGTTAAGAAGCTGCCATGACATGACTAGTTTTTGAACAAGGCTAGGAGTCAAGGAAAACTTGTCAATTTTTTCGCGCACACATGAGCAAATAAATCTTGGCAAGGAAAACCTGCCCGTCTGTACGGGGCTTTACAACTAAATGGTGGAGAACCGGACATTCATTCATCAGTGCAATTTGCTCTCATGAAGGCCCGGGTTAACGGACCGAAAGCTTTGCAGTATTAAGTACTTACGTGGTGTACCTACAAGTAATTTACTTATTGATGCCACTATACAAACTTACAAGAATATTATAAACATTTCTTGTCTTTTTATTTCATACAGCTGGAGCGTATGGTTGGAGAGTGGCAAGTAAGATAACTTTAAACTCTTTATTGTAAGGTTGCATGATATTAACTTGCTTTTAAAATAATTTGTTCATTTTGCTTTAGCAATCATGTTCTTGCGTTGCAAGTGCTTGGAGTGTTAAAGAGCGTAATTGGATAGATCAGATACCATCTGCTCTAAAATTTCTTGCTGGGAGTGGAAAAGGTGACGTTGGCAGCGATGTGTGAAGCGTTTTCTAAGGTCCTGTTATACGATGCAATTTTTCTTGCAACTTGCAATGCAGTTCTACTCTTGGTGGATGTAGAATTGGCTATATAACACGGGCCTTCGTTACTCTCGGCTGATGTCGTCTTAACATATCGAACATTCTTCACTAATTAACATGTCTCGAAAGTAGAATTACATTTCGTGCATTATACGTATCTTTGTTTTTTAACCCAGGGTATAAGAAATTGAATATTTGTTGTTTAAGGTTGTCCAGATGCAGGACAGGGCCTATATAATTATAGACATAAAGTATGTTTCAGCACGCCCTGAAAATATATTTGCATGGGCTTGTTCGACGTTATATTGATGAACAGAATTTTTCCTGGGGGCACGGTATTATTATTCTTCATCGTAAAAGTATTTTAAACTTTTTTCCACGTAGATGTTTTGAATTGCCCGTCATATATACCAATGGTGATTTTTAAGCAAAAAGTTCATCAATGGAAATGGATAGGTACGTGCTGCATGTTGATTGACAGTCGCAGCAATAGAATCGTCCTGAAAAATATTGAACAATTCATTTGCTTACATTTTTCTGTTACGGAGTTCGTAAAATATTTTTATAAACTCCTTGAAAAACGTACTTCCTGTTCATTGACCAATTAGGATGGCTCAAGAAATAAATTCAAAATTTGATTGGTCAGTTGAATGGCCTAATAAGAATGGCAAATATTGGCTAGTGAAAATACGGTTACAGCAAGTAGGTAAGGGGTTTTTCAAGGATTCTCACAAAAATTTGACGAACTCCGTAAATCTGCAGAAAAATGTAAGCAGTTTTGTCCAAACTGAAATATATTACTAAGTGAAACTACTTAGATCTTTCACAGTGTTTTCATTCTCTCTTTGTTTTTGAGTAAAATTTCTAAGTAAAATTATAGTTACGTTCGCCATCACATACCAACAAAGATGGCGGCAAGTCGATAAAAAAATAAATCTTTTCAATTTGTAATCAGTCACGCGTAGCAGGTTAACGTTGCAACTAGGTCAAACTTATAGAAACCCAAACGGCAAATGACCAACTATAATTAACAAAATGTTATACGAAGACAGCACACTTTGTCAAGTTTCTTTTACCTATAATTTAAGTGAAATATCTCGAAAATTGAGACAGGTAAATTTGGCAAACTTTATTGCTTTTAAAAGCGTAGACGCAAACTTGTAGTCAAATCACACATGCAACCATACTTTTGTAGCTTCGGTTGTTTAATTGACTTGGGATGGTTACACGCCCACGCGGCTCATATTTTCGTACACTCCCTCCCTTTCGTACACTCCAAGTCTCGCAATCATCCTGCGTTTGGATTACGCGGCTTATTTGCTGGGATATTTTCTTACAGGTACCTTCCGAGACAAGGATACAGACCTCGAACCCTTATTTGATCACTGGCTGGAGACTAAAGACAACGTTGCTGTACGTGGAATTTAACCGCATTGCTCAAGATTCGAAAATATTTCATCTTGTCTTATCTCCATTTACATCGAAGTTTGGAAAATTTAATAGCATGCAGAGATAGCTAAGGTATCCCTGAACACATTTTACATCTTGTTCTTCTAGAATATAAATGTTCCAGCTTCAACTGCGCCGACATTACCGTAAGTACACGATTCATTGTTTTACTTGTGATTTAACAATTGAGTAAAATGCTGCGAATCTGTGTTTTTTCTCCTTGACCATTAACGCTTTATGTCCCAAGACTTAAAGAGTGTGTATTGTAGATATTTAAGCGGTACACAAACGCTCCTTGCGCGGCAACATCTGCATGTGATTGCCATGCATCTCTAATCCGAGATTTTAAGTTATTAGAAACATTGTAGTCGATAGTTATCGTATAAGCTATAGATATAATTTTTTTATATAGACGTGCGGTATATGTTGTGGCACCAAGTACAGAGGTTGAAAAATCTGCTTACCAAGTTCAGGTTTGTGTACGAATGTGTAGAATGGTAAACAGTATACTTGATTATTCGCTTTTGATATGAGCTGATGTGTATACATATTTGTTTATAACGTTGGTGTAAAGATATGTCATTGGTACTCATGCAATGACATCTGGATAAGTGCATGACGGGAAGACCATTTCAATTATTATGTAACAGGTCACAACCTCATTGTTTTCATTTTAGAGCCTCCCTAAATTAAATAGATTTCGTTTAGTGTAGCTAGAATTTAAAAACAATATTGTAGCCATTTGTTATATAACTTCTGAAGCTTTATATTTTGTTCACGCAGGAACGACAAAGATATGAAAATCCTCATAAACCATTTATTTATAAGATGCATGGATTTGACTCGATCGTCGCCCCGGTCAAGGTAAACCTATCTAGTGTCTCTTTTTTAACTCAAATGCCAGTATATACTTCGAACACGTTCTGAAGAGATCTCAGCTTGCATGTATTATTTATTCAATTGATGAAATTTTTGGATATATCACATCAACAGTTTCAGGCCGAAACTGAATCAGGTTTCAGTCATTCTAGCTGAATTATACAGGGTGTATCAGAAAAAACTAGAAGATTTTAAAATGTCCAGAAAACTATCATTTTATCAAAATATCTCAAAAATATATTTATGTCTAAGTATTTTAGCATCTCCTGGCTTATCTAACAGTAAAAACTAGCAGAAAAATTAACCTCGAAAAGCGGGAGAACGGTTTGTAAAAGCCTCATTTTTAACCGCTTGTGCAAAGAAAATGAGATGTTCAAAATCCAAGTTCATTTAAAGAGATGAAAGTTTGGACCCTTTTGTGCAATGTATCAAAATTTCAGAAAATTTGATTAACATTAAGTCCGCCGTGAAACGTTTCAAAATTGGACTTTTTCCGTTTACTCCGCTCTCGCGTAACCTTTTTTTATGCAAGAATGATTACATGCATGAGTGATGGTTCGAATGACGTAATTAAAACATAACTAACAATGAATACTCTTGTTTCATTGTTTTATTTAACAAAGAGTTCTGTTAATTACACCTGCATGGATAATGCAAAAGATGTCCTGTTTATGAATTGCTAGCTTATTTTTCATATCAAACATTAAAAACAATGCCAAGGCCGCAGTTTACACCACAGCAAAGAGCTTTTTTGGTAACTGAATACCACCGTAGTCATGGGAGCGTCACAAGAGTGCTTGAAAGGTTTCGGGAGGAGTATCCTGACGTACGCTGTCCATCACATGGTACAGTTTACAACAATGTTGCTAAATATCGTACAAACGGGACAAGCTGTAATCTCAACCGGGGAAGATCAGGACGTCGAAGAACTGCGAGGTCTCAAGAAAACATTGAAGCTGTACAAAATGCGATTGAAAATCAGCAGCCAAATGGAGCGAGAATTAGCGCTCGGCGAAATGGTCTTGGCTTATCTTCGGCCACCTTTAATCGTATAACACGGCTGGACTTACGATTTCACCCATACCAGATGATACGACGACATCAACTGCTTGCAGGAGATTACCAGCGGCGAGAAAGGTTTTGCCAGTGGCTTATAAACAGACCAGCACGATTTCTTGAGGACGTACTCATTGGTGACGAAGCTGGATTTGCCTTAAATGCCTCTGTTAACACCCATAATATCAGAGAGTACTGCGCTCGTGGTGAACGACCGTTGCACTTTCAGTATGAGCGAAATGATGACCGTCACAAGTTTACTGTTTGGGTCGGATTGATTGGTAATGGATCTGTCATTGGTCCTTTTTTCTTTCGCCACAACTTAGACGGCGAAGAATACCTACAAATGATTAATGAGCGAGTCGTTCCAGCTGTAAGCGAAATACGCCGTTTCGCTCCCAACGATGATGGCAGGTTCCAGCGCCTTTGGTGGATACAAGACGGAGCACCACCTCATCGGAGACGCATTGTTTCCGAGCGCTTGGAACAATTATTTGGAAACCGATTTATTGCTTTAAATCGTGCGGTAGAATGGCCACCGCGATCTCCCGATTTGACTCCTTTGGATTTTTTCCTTTGGGGTTACCTAAAGTCGAAGGTTTATGTCACACCACCGGCAAACTTGGAAGACCTTGAAGCAAGAATTCAAAATGAGATGGATATCCTAAGGCAGGACAGGCAAATGGTTCGGCGTGCTGTTTTCAGTATGATAAGTAGGGCAGAAATTTGCGTGCAAAGAAATGGAGGACATGTTGAGAACTAACAACAAATTTTGTAAACTCTGCTCTTGTTTGCAATTGTGTACTGTTTGACGTTTTTGTGTAGTTTATTTTTAATAATAGCATTATTAGATACAACATCAATGTAAGGTATAACAATAGCATTGTAAGTACGTCATTCGAACCATCACTCATGCATGTAATCATTCTTGCATGAAAAAAGTTACGCGCGAGCGGGAAAAAGTCCAATTTTGAAACGTTTTACGGCGGACTTAATGTTTATCAAATTTTCTGAAATTTTAATACATTGCACAAAACAGTCCAAACTTTCATCTCTTTAAATGAACTTGGATTTTGAACATCTCATTTTCTTTGCGCAAGCGGTTAAAAATGAGGCTTTTACAAACCGTTCTCCCGCTTTTTTAGGTTAATTTTTCTGATAGTTTTTACTGTTAGATAAGCCAGGAGATGCTAAAATACTTAGACTTAAATATATTTTTGAGATATTTTGATAAAATGATAGTTTTCTGGACATTTTAAAATCTTCTAGTTTTTTCTGATACACCCTGTATTGCCATCTCATTGACATGCTTTCAAATTGTTGTTTCTCTTTCAGGGCGTGTTTACGAAAGAATCCAATCTAAATAAGGCGCGAGAACACTCCTTATTGGTATCCAAGCGGCCTCCCTACGTGACAATTTTGACATTAGTACGTGATGCTGCCGCGCGATTGCCAAATGGTGAAGGCACTAGAGCAGAGGTATATTGAGATGGTTTTTTTTGTTGGAGGCCAAATATAAAGACGAGGAAGGGACACGTCGGGTCAATGTCCTGCTGGCAGCTGCATGAAGATCATCCCTATCTTAACAACGTGTCTTTCTCGCTGTGTGAAATTCATATTATTTACGCCTGCATGCCATTGTGAATTAAAGAATGAAGAGATATTCTAACGGGTATACATGTCCTTTTATTCAGTAACTCCGCCCGTGTGCATATTTCACATGTTAAATTGAATTTTCACTGTTATTTTAAATGTGATAAATTAAAAGCTTCGCATATGAATTTATGTATGAATGGATAATCTCTATTCAACTGCGTTGCCAATTCATATCCTTACTTTACTGTCCGGATCACCCGATTAGGTTTTCGTTTTAAAGCAGAATGATGCTTGACACGAAAAGGTGTCAAAGTATAATTGATAAAGGGATACGGCAATTAGCAATTATTGAATGAGGTTGAACATGATATGAAGAATTATCAAGCCGAAGTTTGTCATTATATATGACAAACTGAGACTTGATAATTCTTCATATCATGTGAAAACCGAATTCAATAAATGTTTTATTATTTATTTAAAAGAACGAACATGTATGCCTCAAAGTTGCCGAACCTTTCACTTGAGGAAGCCATTGTGTTGATGTCTTCGCCATTCGTGTGACGTCAAACGTGGGATACGACTATTTATCACACTAAAAAAGTCGTATCACACGTTATGACGTCACACGTTGGATATGACGATTTCACACATGGCTATTAGCCAATCACAGACTGTGAATTCTGTTAAATAAATAATAATAAAAATTATCTTTGTCTATTTTAAAAGAACGTCATGATTATTTACAAAATTCGTTTACGGATTTTTGTCAACTTTATTACTTACAAGAAATTTTCGAATGAAATAATCTTCCATCCGCCATTTTGGATATGCATATTCTTGCTCTGATATGCGTTACGTCATAAGCTGGGTGAAAATTCGTTTTGTAACTTCAAATTAACGATACGGCGAAGTGATAGTTCCATGGTATTACAATCGCACGTATCTCAAATTATAACGTTTGAATTGTAAAAGTTCCAAATAAACCGTGAACATGTAATTGTTATTTTTTAAACGTCAACCCTGCTTTTGACGTCATGTAATTAGATGTCATTATAAAACAAGATGGCGGATATATCGCGATATCCGATGTTTTTGATCGTAAGGAAGATAAAAAAAATTTGTAAAAAGGCTCTATAAGAAGCCTAAATTTTTTTTTCAATGAATCAGAAATAATTTTTATTGCCATTTTAATTCCCTTTAAGCAAAAGTATACCGGATCGTTAAAGCGCAATACTTTGTACAACAGCATGAATTTTTTTTTCAGGTTTGTCTTCTGTTGAAAGATTCTCAATATATTAATCCAACTGCAACCGATGGACAGGTTTGTTTATATTTAATTTTAACGAAATTCGTGTAAATTAGAGCTATTGTTAGATATATGACCTAGTAACCTTCATTGCCTATGATGGTGTTAATATGTTGTAATGATCGTGTTAACATGTTTTTGTTAACGACTGCTGTTTACAGGTTAATGTATTGATAACCTCTTTTCCCTAGATTCATACTGTTGTAAGTGGAGCTCTCGATCGACTTCACTACGAAAAGGATCCGTGTGTGAAATACGACAATGCACGCAAAGTTTGGATATACCTTCACAAAACAAGAACTGTCGAAGAGTTCGGTAAGACTGCAGCGTTTGCTTAATTTTTTAGACGTTCGGTAAGACTTCAGTGCATACTTAATAGAATTTGTAGCAGGCTGCGAGGTCCGGATGTAACTTTGATTGCGAAATCCTGGCATTATGATAAGTAATGCCCTGAATTTCTGATAATGCTTAAGGCGGTGTTACACTATGCAACTTTCCTTGCAACTTGCAATGCAATTCTACTTCTGAGGCATCTAAAGTTGACAAATACGAACATTTCTCACGATCTGCTAACGTTTTCTTAGCATTTCGAACACTCTTTACTAATTAACATCTCTCGAAATTATAATTGCATTGCAAGTTGCACTAAAAATTGCATAGTGTAACACCGCCTTTAGGCTAGCTTAGGCTTAAAAACCCTCCCTTACCTGCTCTGAACCAATCGGAAAGCTTCTTTCCGCGTACCATGAAATGAAATTTGAATCACATCCTTTTTTACTTTGTTTGACATTTAGAGAAGCTTCATGAGGCAAGTGCAGCTGCAGCCCGTGCAAAGAAACAACAGAACCAAAAACAGAAACAATTGAAACAGCAGGTTAATCAAGTATATCTGTTTTTATGTAGGAGCGTATTTTTTATTTAAAATGTATATCAGGCTTTTGGGTGTTAAATAAGACATTTTTCGGAGAAAAGCAGAGCAAAGATCAAATTCTTTATGATCTATACGTATAAAAAGTAGAAAACCAAGGTTATTTAGAACTTCTTTAATGCATGATTTGAAACTTTCTAGTTGCAAATTGCATGCTTTGTTCACATTGCTATTTGCTTTGCATCTGTTACTTGTGAGTTATGAATCAGAATGATTTCCCAAGAACATTGAAATAACGTTGGCAACATGATATGCATGTTCTTTTGCTATATTTCCCGCAAATAATTTACGTGGTTTCATATGTTAACACTCGTCAGGTCATACATTCATTTTCCTCTCACTTGGTGTAGTTCAAATGTGGGGATTTACAGCGAAACGCACTCACACAACGACCAAATTGTGTACGACGTCGTAACGGGTACACCAGGCGAATAAACAAGCGCATAAATCACGAATTCCGGATCGTATAAATGAAGTGTGTGTATGTGGTTTCTAAATAATGACGTACAAAATATCCGTCAATATACTGTTACAAAGTTAAAGGAAATATGATATTAATGTACCTGACTGTTGAAATTCCCAAATACGAACTAATATAAAACAAACTCTATGATAATGTCATTCGTCTTCAAAACTAAAACATGTGTTCAGTGCCTGTTCGCAGGCAACTTATCCTTACGATACGCGGGCCTGGTTAGATCCTACACTGGCCCCTATCGCGCCATGCGGTTCTATAAAGCGGATCTAGCATACAGTAAAATTGTAAAAACGTTAACAACAACGGTTATAGCTATGTAGAGTTTATCAATCGCCGTCCTTTGCCTTACTTGGCTTCTTCCAGCATGCACAACTTCCTTACGTCTCTTCGGAACTTTCCGTTTCTCGTTCTAAGCACGACGTGACGAACCGTTCCTTCGCTATCGGGAGAGACCTCCTCCACCATAGCTAAAGACCATTGTCCTCGTGGACACCCGCTCTCTACCATCAGGACGACGTCTTTAACCTGAACGTTCCGTTTACGCCACTTCTGTCGTTGCTGAAGCGTTGGCAGGTATTCGCCAACCCAACGTTTCCAAAACGCGTTCGCTAACACCTGGGCTTGCTTCCACCGCTTGCTGAAACGGTCGGTACCTACGAATACGCCGGGCGGTAAAGATGAGTTTGATCTCAAGAGCAACAGCTTCCTCGGCGTCAGTGGATCTAAATCATTAATTTGACCTTCGCCTCGAACCAGTGGACGATCGTTGAGTATCTTTTCCACTTCCCCAAACAGGGTTAGAAGCGTCTCATCGTCGACTGTTTGTTCCGTCATCAATGAAGCCAGAATTCGCCGTATAGAACGAATTACGCTCTCCCATACGCCACCGGTGTGACTCGCTGTCGGCGGATTAAAGTGCCATGTCACCCCTTTCATTCTCAATCGGTCGTATATCTTGGACTGAGCTTCATTCGATCGAATGTTTTCAAACTCTTCTTTCAAAATTCCGGAGACTCTGACAAAGTTCGTCCCATTGTTACTATACATATCCGTTGGAAGGCCTTGACGTGCTGTGAAGCGACTAAAGGCACATAGGAAAGATTCGAGCGAATGCGCGACCTCTATGTGGACGGCTCTCACGGCCATACATGTAAAGACACAACCGTATCTCTTGACTAAGCTACGGCCTCTCTTGACCATAAAGGGCCCGAAGTAATCGACTCCAGTTGATGCAAACTGGAACTCACAGGCAGTTACAAGGGGCTGTCGGTAATGGTGCCATGATCTGCTCGCACGGCAACGCAAACTTTCTACGACAAAGGAGACGCTTGTAGATGATCCATCTTATTCTCGACCGCCCGTTCAGGACCCAAAATTCTCGTTGTATTGCGGTAATGATCGTTTGGACGCCCGAATGACCCTCCTTCTCGTGTAGTGCTGGATCAGGAGGTCAACAACGTGATGCTTGCTCGGGATGACGATTGGGTGTTTGGCAGCGAAACTTATCTTTGCTCTGTCTAACCGACTACCGACTCTCACTAAACCGTCTTCGCCCATAAATGGCGAAAGCGCCGACAACTTGCTCGCTTTCTTTATGGTCGCGTTGGCTTTCGGAGCGTTTAGTGGTCTTGACAGGAGACACACAACTTCTTCAGGAGGTGCTTCGCTTTGAATGTACTTGATTAAACGTATATCTTCGCGATGTCTAATTCTTCCATCGACAAAGGGTTTACTCCGGCCCCTGTAACCTTACGTTCCAACGTTTCTGTGGATGAATGGATTCGACCAGGCAGTTTCTTAGCGTCGGCGGTGTCTCGGAGGTGTTGGAGAAAACGGATAAGCCAAGCGGCTTCCTTTAAAAGACGGTACCAGTCGGAGTAATGTTGGATAAAGGAATCCAAGGGTTCTTCTTGGCGAACTTGTGTCTCGTAGATTCCTACGTCGCGTTTCCACTCGAGGCTTTCGTCTGGTAGAACGTTGATACCATCGGGACGCGCTGGCCAACTGGATTCGTCTTTACGTAGAAATTCTGGCCCGTTTATCCACTGTTCGATCTCTTCGTCGTCATCGGGTCGCAAGCCTCTGGATGCGTAATCTGCTGGATTGGATTTGGAATTAACATACCTCCATTGCGATAGACTCGAGCTGTTGTAGCGATTATAGCGATTCGGTTTGCCACGAATGTTCTGAAACGGCCCCCCTCGTTCGTTGTTGATATACTGGAGGACGCAGGTGGAATCAGTCCAGAACACCACACGGTCGATTTTCAAATCTAGCTCCTCGGATCTGACGATCTTGTTTCACAGCCATAGTTGCTGCGGTCAGCTCTAACCTTGGGATGGTAGTGGGTTTGATTGGCGCGACTCTGGATTTTCCAAGCACAAAGCTGCAATGAATTCGATCCTCAACATCTGCGAAACAAAGATACGAAACCGCGCCGTAGCCATCGAACGAGGCATCCGCGAAGTGGTGTAACTCAATACTACTTAGCTGAGCAAAATAACTGGGCTTGAAACATCTTGGCACACTGATTTTTACCAACTTATGTAGATCGCGCAGCCAACGTTCCCACGTTTCCAGCACGTCGGAAGAGATCTCTTCATGCCATCCGACTTTATCTTTGCATAATTGTTACAGAAGACGTTTGGCAGGCAGAACGAATGGCGACGCGAACCCAAGGGGATCATACAAAGAGCTAACATTTGAAAGAATTTCCCGGCGTGTCCGTGTTTTCTTTCCAACAATTATACGGAACGCGAACGCATCTTCTTGCACGTTCCATTGCACACTCAAGGGTCGTTCGATCGGGAGTTCCTCGAGGTCTAAGCTAACAATCGATTGCGCACGTTCGCTTTCTGGGATGGAGGGCAATACTTCTTTGTCGTTGCTCACGAACTTTGTTAGCCGAAATGAACGCTTGGATAAGATCTCACATAGCTTCTGGATCAACTTAATAGCCGCGACAGACTTCAGACAGTCATCTACGTAGAAGTTCTTTCGTATTGTCTCGATTGCCTCTGGACTGGAATGATCTTCGAATTCCTCCGCGACTTTTCTTAAGCAGAACCCTGCACAGCTCGGTGAGGATGTCGCGCCGAATAGGCGGACTAACATTTGGTACTCCGCTACCGGCTTGTCATAATCGCCATCCTCGAACCAAAGAAATCTTAGAAGGTCACGATGTCCTGGCGAGACTCTAACCTGACAAAATATCGCCTCGATGTCGGCCAAAAAGGCGACGGGAATTCTCACGAAATCGCATCTAAACACCCACGAGTCTGTTCGTCATGTCGGGACCCTGGAGTTTATGCTTATTAAGGGACACATTCTCGTACTTGGCGGCACAGTCGAATACGACCCGCAGTTTTTCGGGTTTCTGGGGGTGCATAACCGGATGGTGTGGGAGATACCAAACATCGTTGCTTTCCACCTTTGTTTCGTCGGTGATCTTGCGTGTGTAACCTTTGTTGTCGTAGTCATCGATTCTCCTTTTATATTTGCTGTATAGAGCTGGATCCTTTTTCAATCTCGTCTTGAGTGACTTCAACCTCTTCTCAGCAAGGCTTCGGTTGTTGGGGAAATTCGGCTTTCATCGTAAAGGTAAGTCGAGATGATAATGATCGTCGACGACTTTGAGTGATCTTTCCATAATAGACAGAACCCTCTTGTCTTCCAATGACATCTCAGGGCCTTGGCAATAGGACGATTCGCTAAAATCCATCTCGAACATCTTTTCGACTCTTTCACTTAGAATCACGTCTTGACTTCCAGTACAGAAGGAATTGACGTCGTTTGCTGATGTTGTTCCCATCGCTCCGGCAATCGACCAACCGAGAGGAGTTCTTATGGCATATGGTTCCTTCTTACGTCCGCGACGTTCCTCCAATTTCCAATGCGCCTCGGGGACGTCCGTACCGATTAGGATAGTCACTTCCGCATTGCCCAATTCGGGAATAGAGATCCCATCCAAATGGCTCCACTTAGCGATATCGTCCTCGCTCGAAATGCAGCTTCTCGCAGACAAATTCTTTACCCACAAGGCGTTTGGAATTTCTCAACAATCTCTTTGATTCAATCCCTGGACATGTAGAAAATAAGATTTTCCTGATTCTTACGAGACCTTATTCGTTGTAGTAAGTGTAAAATCTATCGGCTGTCCATCTAGTTTTAGTTCGTTCACCAAACTTTCTTTCACGAGAGTGGTATTAGGTCCTTCGTCCCTAATTGCATAGGTTATTTGTTTCACGATCGTTGTTCTTCCCAAACACCTTGACGGGTATCACCCGTAGACAAATTCGCTTTTTAGCAGTTCCAGTGGTGCCACAGTGACCGGTTTGAGCGTTTTCATTCGGAGTTGAGGGAGCATCAGGTTTCTTCTCTCGATTTTGTTCTTTCGAGCAGTCTTGTTTCCTTTCTTGGTGGGGTTCTACTGGATGGAGTATGGGATGATGGCGTTTCCACAATTTGGAATAAAGCAACCTCGGCTCCTCCTGCATTTATTGGCGAAATGTCCTTTCAGAAGGCAAAGATTACATAGTCCCTTCTTGCTTACGAAACTCTTACGTTCTTCATAGGGTTTTTCTTGGAACTTAAAGCATCCTTCAATGAAGTGACCCTCCCTATCACAGAACAAACATTTGGGCTTCGTTGAGCTTCGGTATTGCAAACGATTTCCTGTTTGAACTTCTCTCGTCTCGGCTGCTGAATGCTGAGCTAATTACGTCGAGACGTTTCTGTTCCCCGTTCGAGGCTTCTTAAAGTTCTCCTTCTCGTTGTAGGGTCTTGCACATATCAATCGACCATATTCTGTGTTCGCTAGTTTAGCTTTCTTGACGACAAACTTAGTCAATTGCGAAAAGTCTGGCTCTTTACCCTTTTCTCTCGAGATTTGGGCTTCCTCTGCCCATTCTGAGCGGAGATACCTGGGAAGTCGCAAAATTACTGCACTCATGTTGCTTCTCGAATTTATGTCAGCTTGAAACCCAAGTTTATTAAGGTTCATCTCGCAATTTTCCGTATCTTGGGCGAGTTGCATCAACTTCTCGTTTTCGTTATCCTTGATCACACCACCTCCCGTAATTCTGTCGATATGGGATGCAGCAACAATATGGGTCTGCCCAAACATTTCAAGCAAAATTGACTTAGCCTTCTTATATCCTTCCTCGGGGGGCAACATAACTGTACCACTAATAGCATCCTTTGCTCTGCCACTGCACAGCTGAATTAGGAAATTTCCTCGAGCGTTCGGGTTGGGCTCGATATCTTCCACGTTGGTTCTAAAGTTCTCCATAAAACTAGGATAAGTTAAAGGGTTGCCATCGAATGTCATGTACTCCCTTCTTGGCATTTCGAATCCTTTACTTATGGTAGTCCCGATGGTGGTAGCCATTAGGTTAAGAGCTTGCTGTTGATGATCAAGGATTTGTTGGGCAGTGGCGGTTGGTTCTTGAACGGGAACATTGTCAGGCAAACACGTTCCCATATACTCTCTTGACGGGTTCTGTTCTCTCACACGGGAATGTTGTATGGTTCCCAAATTAAGAGGTTGGTGTCCTAGAGGACCAGATGGGTGTTCATAATGGAAGTTATGTGGCTGCTCTGCCTGGACGCGAACATGTCCCGGGTATGTTTGTTGCAATTTCTCAGCTGTCTGATTCCATCTTCCGTATCCATAATCTTCCTGAACCGGGTGCGGAGACGATTGAGGTTGCTGGGACGGCCTTGCAGGCCTCAAATGTGGTGGAAGTGCATTATGATGGTACGGCTGGTAGGCTTGAGTTGATGGTAAGGTGTGGAGTCTTGAACTAACAGGTTGATGAAGGATAATCAATTTCTCCTGATGCTTTGTTGCTTGTTTCATTCTGTTGAAGGGGCTCCTGCGCGTCGGTGCTTGGGACAACACCCACAACCACTGCTCCAGCTTCGGTTTTCCTAACACCCAGTTCAGCTTGTAACTCGTCTCCGTGATTTGACTCTATATCGGGCTCTTCGTCTTCTTCTTGGAGATGTTCTTGCAGTTGTGCTTCCTCCAACCTTACCTCTAGCTCATGTAGTCTGCGCCTCTCTTCTAGTTTTTCAAGTTTCCGTTGTCTTTCAATCTCCTCCATTTTCTTTTGTAACTCTAACTCTCTCTGTTCTTGGTCGAGCCTTTGTCTTCCTTTCATATGTCGCAATTCTAATTCAAGTTTACTTCTCAACGCGGTACCAGACCTGTTTGACACACCTGATCTAACACTGAGAGCAGGTGCGGAACGAGCGACTCGTCTTCGTATTTGTCCCAAACTGGGCTCAGTATTTCTTGGCGAGCTAATAGAACGGGTTTCCTTGAGTAATCGAACACAACTAACCCATTCAGAAGTGTAATCAGATGAGTTCTAAACAGGGGCCCCACGCCCAGCCCTACGACCAAAACGCCCAACACAACGACCGAATTGTGTACGACGTCGCAACGGGTACACCAGGCGAATAAACAAGCGTATAAATCACGATTTCCGGATCGTACAAATAAAGTGTGTGTATGTGGTTTCTAAATAATGACATACAAATATCCGTCAATATACTGTTACAAAGTTAAAGGAAATATGATATTAATGTACCTGACTGTTTAACCTCCCAAATACGAACTAATATAAAACAAACTCTATGATAATGTCATTCGTCTTCAAAACTAAAACGTGTTCAGTGCCTGTTTGCAGGCAACTTAACCTTACGATACGCGGGCCTGGCTAAATCCTACACTTGGTATACCTTAAAAATGCTCAACCTTGTTATGCCGCTCGTTGCAGCAAAAAACGAAGGAATCAGGGATTGGTGATGTTTCGCTTCCGACGACTGTCTTTGAGGAGACTGAAGGACCGAACGCTAAGTTGCCAGTACCTGGTGTTGTACTACCGGAAACCCCGAAGGCAAAGAAACCTCGACCGAAACGTCCGCCTACGGGAAATCCGAAGAGGCAGGATAAGATGAAGAGTGCCACCGCACAAAGTGAAAGGTATACATTTTTCATGTGAAATGTAGTAATAAAAAAGAAGAAAACCAAGGTTGTGTATACTGTAAATGCAAGGTAAAAATAGTTGTTTTTCATGGATATGGCAACCAGGATGTTGTGTTCTATCTAGGACCACCTGGTTAGTGGAACATTAGAGAAATTTAGCAAACACGGCACCACGCCTAAAACGTGGATTTGGCGTGATATGTCCAGATCTATGATTGTGCTAACGCTATATCCAAGCCATTCTCACAGCGTCTTTGGCGTGACGTTGTGTTTGCTAAATTTTGCTATTCTGGGTCTGCTGCGGGTTTTGTTCAATCTTTAGAGATGAAAACTATTTGAAAACCACTTCTCCTTCCACTTCAATTGACGCAATTTTTATGTTTTTATGGCGTTAAACATTTGGTGTCTTTTCTCTATCGCTATATATAGGGTGGAACTGTCTAGTGTTGATTGTAGTGCTGTTGTTCAACCACCTGTGATTCCTCCTATGCCCAAGGTAGACGTATTTTCCCCCAGTCAACCTGTTCGCTTGGTCGCAGCTCCGCAACCAATTTCCATAAGTCATATCGATACTCAGGATAGAAGTCTACTGCATAATATAAACCCTGTCGGTAGTTTTCAAAGAACATCAAGGTTAAATTCATCTTACATACCTGTCGAACAACCAGGTAAGCTGTATATAAAGCTGGTGATCGCTAATACCATAAACGAGGGCAATGCACCAACTTCACTTCTTATATGAGTTAGTGGTGTCAAAATTATATCTTGCCAGACGTATTCCAGTGTTCTAAACCTCGTTCCAAAATGTGCTGAGAATATATTAACTTCATATAACTTTGAGGGGCTGTTTACATGAGGCCGGTTACTCGAGATTAAACGAAGCGTGAGATGATTTTGCGGTATTGAAATAAGCAGATAACATGATCCTGCATGGCAGTCGTATGATCACCACAACAATAGCCTGTGCTTGTTTGGTGTCTTAAAGACTTATTTCAATACCTCAAAGTCCTCTCACGCCTCGTTGAATCTCGGGTAACCGGGCTCATGTAAACAGCCCCTGAGACTCCGTTTACACTAGAACGAAATTTTCCGGATTTGTAAAATTTTCCGGATTCATTGTTACACACATGTATCGGATTTGTCAGGTGTTTACACTGCACTTTAGTTGTCTCTGTATGCGGATTTGTCCGTTTACACTCACATTACTTGTTCTTGGAGAATTGTTTGCTCGTCATATTGAATTTCTTCGGATTCGTCGTGCAAAGCGTTTACACAAGAACATTTTCCGGATTCAAATGTTTCTGGATACGAAGTTTCCACAAACTTTTACGGATTCAAAGTTTCCGGATACGGCTTAAAACCGAGTACATTTTCTATCGGATTCGTTGCTGCGTGTGTAAACAGCAACATGAATCCGGTACTAAAACATTCCGCTTTCGTGATTAATCCGCGGAAACTTTCGCTCTAGTGTAAACGGGGTCTGAGACGTATTATGTGATCATTAAATGCATGATACTTGGACGAAATATCATACTAGCTTCCACTGTTGTCTTTAAAATTTGAACGCGCAAATGATGATGCGTTATTGGTTGATTAGACACGTTAACTTGGATATTTAGCTATATATAAGATACCCGAGACACTCAGTAGGAGGAGACCAGCAACAGAAAGCATTCAGTTTTCAAATAAAATTTTTGCATTGAAGGGATTGGTAGATTTCAAAGGTCTAACATACAATGATATAAAGAGTGTAGTATAGGTCTCTTTAGCAATTACAGTTCAAGATTTAAGATTTTAAAACCTGCTGTATACAATTTCGGCCTCGACTAAAAGCCGTTGAGTATACTGTGCACGTTTGAGGCACTCGAAAATTAATAAATTTACGGGGGTACCGATTCCTTCAAAGTGTGACCATATATGAATATTTTATAAGCAAAGCTACTCAAATCTAGTTAGATTGCTCCCTCCTGGAATAAATCTGGTAATTATTAATATCAGGTGAGGCTGTTTTATGTGCCGGCATCCGACTGAGTCTACAATCCTTGACAAAAAACGCGCGGACGCTATTTATAATGGCTGAACTTTAGGTCTACCAATTATTTTTCGCATGTGCTGTCGTATTCCCCGCTCCCCTGTTACAATGTTATTGGGAAAAGTATCGCAGTATAGTCGCCATAACAATTCAAGTTCATCAACGCTGTTTCAGGGGGGATCGGTTTTATGAAGGATATGTAAATATTTGTAAATAATTTCTTTTTTCCATGCTTGTCCCAGCAAATTTACCTATGATAGTAGAATAAAAATTACAAGATCTGGTCACACTGTTTCTTCACTTCAGATCAGTGGTGAGATCCATTTATCAAGATATTTCGTTTCCTTTCCATGACTTTAAATACCCTCCTTCCCTGTTTAAATCATCTCGGATACCTGGTAAAGTTTTCTCGGGTATGAATAGGGTATACCTGGACTCGAGATCATATAAACAGCGCCTAGGGCGAGATTCCAGCAACATGTGCCATTGATGGATCACACAAACACCCAATAGACTTTGTATTACAAATCGGCAAAATTTGCGGGATCTCCGCGACTGTCCTGTCTGGGCTAGACGGTATCATGTATTTAAACAAATCTACAGAAGCAGGTTTTGTAGCGATATGATCTTACGTTCTTTTTATTAGTGCAGGAAAACCCCTCCTCAGCTTATGGTCTGAAAATGAGTAAAAGCATCGGTGGTGTCGATAACGGTAGCGAGAGTAGCAGCTCCGGTGATAGTGAGAGCGAGAGTGAGAGTGAAAGCAGTGGACCTGAAGGTGGCGTCTCTCCAGAAACGTCTATTTCTCAACGCCAAGGTAAAGAAAAAAAAGGGAAATTCTATATGCCTTCCTTCAAGTTTACATTTGAAAAATTGTCAATCAACAATGGACTTCCGTGGATATCAGGTTATTTTTCCACTCTCCGTTCGATGCAAATTACAATACTTTCAGGCCCTTGCGCTTGTTACATTATGAAGCTTGTAGATGGATATTTCAACGAAACTTTAGGATGTTCACTTATCTGAAATCAGATATCGCATTCTCTTTCATCTCTTTAGATCCCAGTTTGCAGTACACTGAACAAAGAATGCCATTTAACAATGTTATGTCACTGTTTCAAAGCAGCCCGGCTGGTATGTTATTTACGGAACCATAGAGTTTGCGAAACTGCCTCGAAATTCATTGTTTCATGAAGTAATTTTAAAATTAAACTTAAATAGTACTAAATAATACTAAAACATGAACTACAATTACTTTAGTTTCTGGTCCTAAAAAGAACCGCGTTAATTATTGCTAGGTGAAAACAAAAGAAAAAAAATTGAACCGCAGGTCGTTCGACAACTTTTTTTAATAAAAACTCTGTATTAATTAATCATTATTATTAACTAATAAATCTTTTAATTCTTAAGAAAGTTTCTTAATTTTTCTCGTCATTGGAATGATTACAGTATATCGAGGCGCCCTTGCTTACTCTTAGGGCTGTTTCCCAGTTCAACCGTATCGTAGGGACACGTAGCGTAAATCATTCTTTCTTAGCCACTTGGATAGAACTAATGACTTTCAAAGGAATATTCATACACTAGAGTTCGCCACGATACGGTTGAAGTACATGGAAAATAGGCCTTGGAAATCAATATGTTAGTGTTGAATTATACGCATTCTAGAGTACTTAGCTGGCATCTACGGTTTGCAGTTGTTTGAGACCTTCTGTATACAAAATTAATCACAAATATTTTTTTATAGGTGCAGATCGCAAAAACAATTTTGGTGGATATTAGAGACCTCAATTTCAACGTACACGCACACAGACATTGCATGTGGGTTATATTATTGAATTAAAGCTATAACCATTAGAACATTAGAACTCTATACTGCGCATACAATTTAAAAACGTCATGGTATTGTGCTCACATGCGCCATCTATATCTATATAAGATCTTGGAATTTTGAAACAGTTACCTTGACACGCCTCTTTTTAAGTGGTACAAAATTACCAAATTTACCAAGAAATTATAATTGTATTTAGTATGTGGGTTTTGTGATTTGATTAGTTTTCATCGGGATTTTTTCAATTTTAATAAAGCAGTGTCCAAATGCATGCTGAAGTAAATTAAACAGACAAATCCACTACATTTGTGGAAGTATTCTAATAAATATAAACAAAATTTCAAGTAAATTGCGTCACAATATACATTGCGGCGACGATAAAATAAAATAACTCAACTGAAAATTGAAACAGTATAATCTTAACAAGATTTACCATACAGTTCTAAGTGTTTTTTAAACTTTTTTTTGGTTTGGTTTTGGTTAACTAAATTTTTGGTTTCCTTCCTGTCGTATAACAGGAACCTTGATCACTTTTTAAAATAATTTTATAGCTACTCTAGCTCCCTTCCTTCGTCATGCAGTTCTCTCACTTACACACGACATTTTAGCTATGGAAAGCCGTTCATTCAGGCCTGTATAATGCATCGAATTTCGATTTCTCTAAATGCAATAGACTACAATAGCCTTTGCAAATTATTTTGTACCTTTTTGTATTATGCACCGCGGAAATTGATATAATTTTTGTATGGGTAAATGAGACGATACCGTCAATATATTGTATATGCAATTAAAACAATATAGATAATGGGATAATGAGACCAAAATGCAAAGAAAACGTGGGTCAGTATGTTTCATCAGGCAATTAATTGCTCAATGGACCATTGCATATATTGCGGTCGTGAATTAGGGTCTGTTCACATGAGCCCGGTACCGTGGTTTAACGAAGCTTAAAATGGACTTTGAGGTGTTGAAAAAAGTATTTTTGACACAAAACAATCACATGCTATTGTTAGGATGATGACACGAATACCAGAATCGTGTTATTTACTCATTTCAATACCCCAAAGTCCATTTTACGCTTCGTAAAATCTCGGTAACCGGGCTCATATGAATAGCCCCTTAGTCCGTTACCGTGTATACAGCTTTATAGCCTATATGTATAGAATGCTTTTGCTGAACCAATGTGACAAATTTGCTTATTTGCAGTTGCATTTTTGCGTCTTCCAAAGTGATAATTTGTAGTAAAATAGTTACTTAATGTTAGTGGATTTTAGCTGGCTAAAAGTTGTAAACATCGAGATAAAAGTCACAAAGAATTTAAACAAAATGTCCTAAAAACGTTGTTCTATCGCTTGGGAGAACGTCCCAAATACAGTAAATTCGCAAAGTTTGGTAGTTCATAGATAACTATTCAACGTAAAAGACAGCCGAAGACTAACTGATGAAAAGCACTTTCGGCATTTTTTTAGGTGTTTCCGTGTCTATGATGATCGATCTTTGCAAACCCGTTTTTAGGTCATAAAATTATATTTTCTCATCGGCATTCTCCGCGCCCCCGCAAAAAAAGTTTTCCCGTCGTATTCCATTCTGCGTTTATAAGCAAGGCTCTGGGCTTCGTAAAACGGATCGGTAGGACTGTCCGCAAATAGAGTGTCCCGAAGATCTTGAGCCGATCTGGATCGCTGGCTACCATTGAAGCTGATGGAAGATGCATGCGATGCACCAGCCTACATAAAAAATAGGAAACTTAAGCTAAATTTTTGGTAAAGGATACCTAAAATACCTGGTTTACATCGGCGCTGTTAGCGTCCAGGATCAGCCTAGTTCGCGTCCCGGGCGCATCATTGAACACATGAAAGTTGCATTCAGGTAATGTATAGGCTAGAGATCGCTCACAAACTTTGTGATTAAATATATACCTATCAAAAACGAAGCTGTAGAAACATACCTATCAAATATACCTATCAAAAACGAAGCTGTAGAAAAAGTGAACTTCCAAAGACTTCCTTTAGACTACATATACTACCTTCCTTTGTTCATGGTTCATTTTGACCATGAAACGTGAACAATTACTCCGTCGACAATCGGTTTTGATGATCGACTTTACTATAGACCCGACGTTAAATGCGAAGGCGAAACACCTATTGAAAGGCCTACCGATCATGCAGCCAATAAAATAGCGTTTAGCGCACGTACAGGAAAAATCAAGTAATAAAAATGAGAATAAAATAATGAAAAACTCGACTCTCAACACAACTAAACTCTCCAACAACTAAATTCTTCAACACAATGAACACATTGTTATATGTGAGTTCGGGAAGTGCAACGGCAAAATAAATTCACCTAATATTGTGGTATACAAGGAAAATACGAGTTAGTATTGAATTGATTTGCCTCTTCAAGTTTCCTCTTTCTCTCAAACAGTTTTTGAATATTACAAATATGGTCGATCAACAAAATTACTTTAAACACTTCAAACAACATCGAACACATTCTGTTGCCTCGTGGTCATGCACCGTGAAATTGGTGGAAATCACGATGCCGTTACAGCATTGTTGATGAGCACGTTGCCGTTGCAGTACGTTGTATTTCCCAAACTCACTATTGGAACTCAAGAGTCTATTGCAAAGTTGTGCACATACCGTGATACGAGCAACTTCCTCATCCATTGCGTCTGTATCTTCAAATCGCGAGCTTCTGCCGCTATAGGCAACAGAGGGGGACTTGCGTTCCCCACGTCGCTCTGGTGTTCTCTTTGAGTTCTCGCGCCAGTCTCGCTTTACGTTTAAGTCGCTTACTGATCTCTGAACTGCCTTCGAAGGGCTACCGACATTCTCGTTTTGCATACCAGCACTCCCTACAAAGGACTCGTGTGTTGTTGTCGTCCAGCTCAGCAATGATAATCTCAGATCCTCAAGATGATCGATATCGTCGTCGCGTGTTAATGTTCCGGTGTTGTAATCTTGCGAGTACCTGTAAGTTTCGCTGTCCGACTTACTTCTCGACGCTGGTGTTTTGTTTCTGCCTGTCGGGTTTTTGCTTAAAATTGCCGTGGACAATCGCTTCTCAGTACGGGATGGTTTATTTGAGAGTTCCTTCTTTGTTGGACGATACGGAAGAAACGATGCTCGGTTATCCAAGGCGGACGTAACCTGGTTGTTTTTGAACTGCGAGTATATTGATTCCGTCTTAATTTCTCGGTTCTGAGTGTACGATTTTCTCAACGGACTTCCCGTAGGAGGGCGGACCCTTTGACTCGCTGGTGTTACCGGTTCTGCTCGCATCGAGAAACTTGTTCGGTCGTTGGATATGCCGAGCAGAAATCGGGCGTCTTGTTCTGCCTCCCAGCATAACTCTATATAAGGTTTGTCATCTTCGAACTCTTGCACTTTTCCAAATGGCGGCATTCTGTCGGTTTGATGATATAATTTTCTAAAGGAAAAAATACGGTAACCTAATGTTGAAGGCCGGTAAGCAAAATAGTCAGAATTGTACGCGTTAAAATTGTCATTTTGCCTGTAAACATGAATGCAAATGTACGATTATTATATTGTATATTCAGAGTGTGTGTAAATAGTTTAACCTATTTTAAATAGATAAAAGGTAATTGTACTGTCTTTACATTTGATATGATAACACAAAATACTCTAGTACTGAAGTCTGTATCAATAAATGCATGTATATATAGGCTCGGAACCAGATTATAAATGTATGTGAATTTAGGCAGAATAATATATTTATCCAGATGATTCCAAATTCTGTCCTGATGAGCTTTCATACCATGATGTTGCATTTCCGCAGCTTGTTACTGGGTATGGAATTGGTAATTACGAATAAGACACGAGCTTGGGACATTTTAAGCCAGGGGTAAAATTTCCCCTGGCCAGTTTATTATTCAAAATATTAACTTTAATAATATATTAAATATATTTAAAAATATATAAAATTAAATATATTTAAAATTCTTTATATATATTAATTGTTCATATGCGTCAAAATTGTTTTGCCGGCAGTAAGGTGAGGGCACAAATTGCGCCATCTAGCTATGATAACTATAGGATGCAGATATGGGGAGGAGGTGGGCTTAGATAAAAAAACCTTTTTGTTTGACAGTTCATTTTAGTCAGTTGACTTCGGCGACCGATTCTTCCAGCTTGTGAGTCACCTTATTTCACTGTTCTGGTGATACCTATATAGGCTCTTCCTTATTCGGATATCTGCCGGAACGCCATTCCTCGCCATCTTTACACCTGCCTAACACTATTCTATAATCCTCACACTATCTTGATCCAAAATTACTTCAAACCAGGACGGAATACATAAAATTCCTATTCGCTAGCAAATATCTTATTTTTGTTTAGAAAAGAATATGCTCGGTCAAAAACAACCTTTTCAAATATTTTAGCAACACTGAGAGGACTGAAATAGGCCTATAATTATTGAGGTCTAGTTTAGAATCGTGTTTATAAAATAATTGCTGCTACCTTGGCACACTTCCAGTCAACGGGAATTTTCCCTTTACGAATTACTAGGGTGGTTTTGTTTAGCGAGGATGCTAATTCGACGTCACCTCGCAAATTGCCATTTTAGAGATCACAATTTTTATAAATCATCTTTATAATTATACTAATACCAATAAATTAACACTTATCACCCAAGGCGAGGTCAATATAGCCTAATAAAAACCGGGACGAAGCCTAGGAAATTGGGAACAGGCTCTTCATCTATCGTAGCAAAATCTGCAAGTGGGCTGTTAAAACCATATAAAACTGATAAACACCAAATATTAACGGCAATGATTAACAATCATACCACGATCTCGAGTTTTATATGAACTGATAGCCGACGAGGTGCGTGGCATCATCCGTACACGATGAGAGAGTGGTATGTAATTGTTTTATAATATAGCTACTATATAAATACCATTTCATGAGCAAAATAAATATGGCATAAAAATTTACATTATTACCTTATATACGGTGAGTATCTCGACCAATCAGATTGCAGAATACCTCATATACAGTAAGTAGCATTAATTTTGTTAAATTGTCTATATGTATTCTCTCCTGCAGTAAAATCCCGCCTACGCTACGACGCTAGTCTATGGTCCACTAACTCCTGTAATTGAGATGCCGGAAAACTCGGAAAAACTAAAAACAAATTTCCGTTTTTTAAATTTTCGAAACTTTCGAAAACGACAACACCTTTGAATACACTAGCCCCTAAGTCATGCTTATTTGGTGCAATTCATATACCCGAATCTGCTTATACATCTGTAAAAGCAAATATACGCAGAGCAGTAGACTTATGCATGGATTATTGATTTGTTATAAAAATATTTTTCTCACACTCTGTATGGTTATTTTGGCTCTATTTGGGTTTCTATACAAAGAGCCTCACAGTCAAAGACAAGTGCTCATATTGTTTCTATGGTAATTAGGCTTGAGAATATTGCCTTGTATTGAATATAAATGAATAAGGCCAATTATTGAATATAAACACCTAAAACAAGTCATTTAATATTTATGCAGAATTCAGTTGAATAAACACTATACTTCGAAGTTTTTAAACTTCTTAAGTTCGCATGGTAGGCATATTTTGAATTTCGAAATAAGTTTCTTAAATCTCAGCTAGTACAAAAAATTAACAACGTTTCATTAGGCAGCGTACAACGCGTTACGTTATAAAAGCAAGTAAATTCTCATTTCTCCATCAAAAATGTACATATTGTATATAGCGCCTTGACCATATTGTATATAGCGTCTTAGTAAAATCGTATGAACTTGTCAAAGAGCTTATCATCTTAAATTCCTATAAACGATGCCTATGACTATGTAAATTTATATAAGATTTCATTGGAAACAACTCCTGTAAGGCGAATTAGGCGTTCGGATGCTTAGAGTGGGGAAACGCTACAATTTATGATTAGACTCACCTTTCCGATCCTGGCTCGGACGAAAGCTTAGCAAAAAATCCATTCTTGTTTCTGCCCATCTCAGTATGTGACCTTCGCTACTTCAAGAGTTCAAGGGTATTACAAATGTGAGCTTTTGTTATGCTGAAAAGCTGAACACCAGTGGCAATCTGCACAATTAAAACAACATTTAAATAACAGATATTGCAAAGCCACGTGCCGTGACGTGCGGTCATTTCTTCAACCAATACAAACACTTGATTGAACCTACAAGGCTAACATGGTCTGGTACTGAGTCTAAGTTTTAGTTTATGTATATTGGCATTATTGTGCGTAAAATTGGCATGCGAGTGATGCGACCAAACTGAAGGAGTCCAGGGGGGATTAAAATATCAGTTTACGAATTTGGACGAAATTCCACTGCCTAAACGACGTTAAAACGTTAATGCTATGTACATACATACAATGTAGAGTCGTATAGTGTAAATCTAGCATGATAGCGTTGAGAGCATGAGAACAGCATTAGAGCACTGTTTCTGTCAAAAGCATTACCTCCCAATCTCACAAAGGACTATTGTCTGAAAGCTGCGTCTACTGGAAACAATTAAGATTACTTATCATAGTAAGTCAAAACTCGTTGAAAGTCTAGAGTTATGTTTGTAACAGAACTTGAATACCTGATTATTTTGTATTAACATTATGAAACAGTACATAAATTCAGGTTAAAGTTAATTTGTTTCAACTTCATTTGTTTTGTTTAAAGTCTGGAGTTATTTTAGCACCATGAGCTTGAATACTTCATCACTTTTGTTGAAGTATCAATGTTATTGAAGAGTAAGTTAAAATGATGCTAATGTGACTTGTTTGAACCTCATTTGAGTTCTAAGTTAGTACTAAAGCTCTGTGACTAAAGTGAAAGTACATTTGTTCCTGTTCATAATTATATGATTACTCCTGAAAGTAAAAATTGACCAAGTTTAGTCGCATCAGTATCGAAATTCTCTGAACATAAACTTTAGTTCATACATTACTCATTTAGAACAATACTCAATAGCAAACCTAAATGGTACCATTATACGTATTCAAAAAGGTATAATGTTTTAAAAATACAGCAGTTCAAAATGTTAAACAAAACCTTTGTTTACATTATTACGGACTTGAATTCTACTTAGTAATATTGTGTACAGTAAGTTTACATGTAAAGTCTTTTGCTGTTGTGTAAATAAGTGCTTTGCCTTGTTGGATTTCACATTATATTTTTGTTTTGTAAACCTTGGAAATCACTTCTACACGGCCAAAAATTGATCAGGTTGTCACATCAGGAGTGAACAATGTTTTGCTGCACCCTGGGAACAGTATTGTTAACAATGTTGTTGAAGCTTGTTGAATCATCAATGTTGATGCAATGTTGTTGTAACAAGTTGCAACAACATTGATGATTCAACAAGCTTCAACAACGTGGTTAACAATACTGTTCACAAGTTGCAGCACAAGATTGTTCACTGACGATTTTGTCCCGCTATGTAAATTTCGAGTTATTATAATTATTCATTTCTTTAGAAATTTATTGTTTTTACAGTCAATGAACACCAAAATATTAGCTAGCGGGACAAATCGTCAGGCTGGCTACGCTACTGAGTATCGACTGCTCCGCGTCTGAGTGAACATCGAATTCAGCGAAATGAGGTAAAGTCACTGCCATATTCTCCGTTTTTCTTTCGATTTTGTTTAACTTGTTATTGTATGTATCAGTGTGTGTTATTGTGGGGACCTAGATCCCATATCCTCGTCGCCAATGTAGACGTTTTCCTAAGTCTTTATTTAGTACATATTTTACATACTACACGCCTAGTCAGTTCGTTCCCAAATACCTAAATCCCTCGTGGTCATCCGGGTTATTAATACTAGATTAACCACGTGACTTAACTACGTATAATATCAATACACTACACACATCAAGTATTAAAAATTTTGACTACGATTTTCTTTGCGTAAATAATGCAAAAAAAATATGTTGTATAGTTTAAAACGAAATTTCACTCGGGGGCAAACAATTTCTCCGTGTTATGAACATCTTTTGGGATGACAAGAATCTTAGTCGGCAGGATTTAAACCTGCGCGAGAATATCGCAACAAATTTCAAGTCTGTCGTCTTAACCCCTCGGCTACGACTACATAATTGTTATTGCCTCTAAGGGCCTGTTCATATGAGCCGGGCCAGCCCGCTTTAGCCGGGTAGCCCGCTTTTGCCGGGCCAAACTGTTTTCGCATTCATATGAGGCGGGCTAGCTGGCCCGGCGGAAATAGTGTAATTAATTTCCGCGCGTAATTGTGTTCTATTTCGCGGGAATATTTAAAATGTGTTGTTGATGTTTCAAAAACACAATCATGTTTTTACCGGCTATCGCAGCTGCATTAGGTGGAATTTTTTCACTAATTTTTCAAATGCAAATGGTTCTTTTGACTTGGAAAATACATGTCAAGTATCGGAACGATGCAATTATGGCTTTTTTTTACGAGAAGGCGTTCTCTTATTTATCGTAAGTTAAAATATGTAAGGCAAAGAAGATTGTTCAGAAAGAAGAGAAGATTCTGGGTTCAGGCTGGAAGGACGGAAGAATGGTGGCAGAATATGATAGGTGGAACCGCTCCGGAGGAAGCGTGGAAAAAAAATTTTCGACTTCCTAGAGAAGGGTTCATGGAATTGGCAGAAGAGCTTCGTCCGTTTATTTCACCAAATCCTTTATCGCCAAATTATCGTGCATTGTCCACTGAGAAAAAACTGGCAGTGACTTTATATTATCTCAAAGATACTGGTTCCCTTGCAATGACGGCCAATACTTTCGGCATTGCAATAAATACAGCTTCTGTTGTCATCGGAGAAGTATGCAAGGCAATTTCTGAAAACCTTGGACCGAAATACATTTACATGCCTCGCAATTGTGACGAAATGAGAAAAGAAGTATCCGAATTCGAAGCCAAATTTGGAATGATTCAAGCCATGGGCTGCATAGATGGGACACATATACCCATTAAAAAGCCACACAAAAACTCGCAAGATTATTTTTGTTATAAGCAATTTTATTCATTAAATGTACAAGCCATTTGCGATTACAGAGGGCAATTCATGGACATAGAATGTGTATGGCCCGGAAGTGTGCACGACGCCAAGGTGTTTGCTAATTCCTCTGTTAATCATAGGCTGCAAGGTAACAAACTCCCAAGAAACTTTCAATCAGTAGTTCCTGGCTGCAACCTTGTACCAAACTACCTCATAGGGGACCCTGCATATCCTTTAACACCTTTTTGCATGAAAGAGTATGAAAGCTGCAAAAGCAATGAACAGGTTGTTTTCAACCAAATGCTAAGATCAGCAAGAAACCTAGTTGAGTGCGCCTTTGGGCGTCTGAAGGCACGTTGGTCAATCCTAACAAGGACAATGGACTTATCACTGAACATAATACCTACTGTCGTTTATGCATGTTTTACACTGCATAATTTTTGTGAGAAGCACAACACATATGTTGACCCAGATCAGGTACAAACACAATATGATTTAATGCAAGCAAATGAGGAAGAACATAGGAACTTACCTGACCCAATTTTTTCTACCAACACTGATGAAGGTGACACTATTCGCAAAGTGTTGACATCCTATATCTATACCTGCCTTCCAGATCACTTAACATAGTGTGGTTGATCACTTGAGAAAATGGATATGTACAGTATGAAAACTGAGACAGTGTTAATGGTGTCTGTTAATGCTTTTTGTTACAAAGTAGTAATTTGGGCTACAAGGTAGCCCACGATGGCGATGCATACTCCAGTAGCGAACGGACGAAGGAACAATATACCATGGTCAGGTCGGATTGTTTTAAACCAGCTTTCCGTAATTTGCGAAGAGAATATAATCGTGAATTAGCCTTTTTAATTATATAATCAACGTGGGTATTCCATGTAAGATCATTAGACAAATGAACGCCGAGTAACTTGAATGTTGACACAAGCTCTATAGGAACGCCTGCAACGTAGATAGGACTGAAGGAGGTATGGTTATATTTCAAGAAGCTTATAATCATCTCCTTACATTTTTTTGGATTGAGTTCCATTCCTCTTTTCATGGCGAACAGGGAAATCTCATTTACAATTATGGGTAGAAAACTAGGCGAACCCCGCGGAATGATCTCAAAAGCTGTCGAATCGTCTACAAATTTGATACGGCCCTGCCAGTTATTTAGAAGCTGGTTGACGAGAATTGCAAACAAAATGGGTCCAAGTTTGGTACTTTGCGTTAAACCACCATTAGTTTTCTTCCATGAGGAATAGCAATTGTCAATTTTTACACGTTGTTCGCGGCCAGTAAGAAAATCCTTGATCCACCGAACAATAGAAGGATGGACATCAAGACGTTTTAATTCTTCAATTATAATATTATGGTCAACCAGGTCAAAACCTTTTCTAAAATCTGCAAAGAATATTCTAATAGAGCACTGGCCTGACTCGAGAGCTGCTAAGACTGAGTGTAATAGGTAGACCAAGGCATGGGTTGTGGATTTTCTCGGAAGGGAAAATTGTTTAGGGTCCATTTTGTTTGCAACTTGCGACAACAAGGATTTAAGGGTAAAACCTTCTAGAACCTTTGCCACTTGGGATGTTAGAGAAATTGGACGCAGATCGTTCTCGAGGGTTGCTGGGGGTGACACTTTCGGAACTGGAATAACGACAGCACGCTTTAGCTGATGTGGAAAAATTCCTTGTTGTATTGATGAATTGTATATATCAGCCAGAACAGGAGCCAATATAGCGTTTTCTCTGGTACCCACGCGTATTATTTGAGAGAGACCTGTTAGCCTCTTAACACGATTAACGTCGAAGCCAGTGCTGGTTGGATTGAAATCACCTGTAATCAAAGCAATGGCTTCGGGGTGGTCTCTAAGAAATATGTCGACGTTGCTTTGGATATGATTGTATAAATCCCAGTTCTCAGATGCACCAGATGATGTCGTGTGGTATATAGCAGCCACAAGAATAATTGAGATGGATCTGGGTAGTCGTTTAGGTCTTAACGGCAACCACAAGGATTCAATATTGGGGTTCTCAAACTTTTTAAGTCTCGTACAGGAGATTTCACAGCTGACATAAATACAGACACCGCCA